AATAGATTGGTGGTCGACCCAGTGTTACACCAACAAATTCATTGTTATGTCTGTCTCTTTCTTGAGCATCATCTTTAAGTGATTCACGGAAGTATGGTAAGTGAATGCATGTCTACCAGTGGTTTGTAGGCTATTTTATCTTGGCAACTGATTTACAATCACCCGACTGCACTGTAGGGGGCAAATGTGATTTTAAGGAAAATGACCAAATGGCATGACAACCCTCCATTTAAATTCCATTCTGCCTTATTTACATTATTTATCCAACATTTTTTTTATAGCCCCACCTTCTTGTCTTGTCAAAACTTATCCTGGTTGCTCGGCTTAATATAATTGAGAGAAGCGAGCTTCATTTGGAAAAGAATGGCTATTATATGGAGAAATGTATAGGGTTGGTGCTTGTTCTTGAGTTTGCCTTTGGGTTCATCTCCTTTGGCTAACACAGGCGGTGATTCTATTTGGTGGCAAACAAAAAGTTTTTTTTTTTTTTTGGGATCCATATGTCAATTAATTGTGTATGTGGAATATCACGGATAAGATGAATTCGTCCTTTTTTTGTGAACGAGTACACATACATGTCCTTGGCTTTTTCGTACCATCAGGATTGATTCCTACCTACTTCTGATTGTTGAATGTAGAGTTGGACCCACGCACTGGGCTTAGCAATGGTTTTCTTTTCTTTTTCCAAGATTTCTTTTTTAGGCATTTCCAACATATTCTACATTATATTCTTGATTTTTTCCCTCGAGGGGAAAAGCATACAAACTCAGTGAAAGGAAAGTGTGAATGAATTGATTTTTTTTGCCTGTAGTTCTGTTTGGAAAGAGTATAAATATAAATATGTACGATGCAAATACATATAAAATACAAAGTTTTGCATGTTTATTTATACTCTTTCCAAACTGAGCCTTAAAAACTATTTTGCCATTGTGAAAGTCATATTCCTAATTTCTCATTCATTTGGTTCAGAGTTAGAATTAGAATACAAATCCCTTGTAATTGGAATGAGAATCACATATTCCTACATCCCTTTGGTTTAGATGGGAATTGGAATTGAATTCTATAAGAAATGGATAAGTCCCAACTCCCAAGGAGGATTGGCATCTTTCACAAGGGAATGGTCTTCTTATTTATTTATTTATTTTTTTTTTGCAAAAACCTAGGTATTTCTTTGGCATCTTTCACATTTTCACAATATCAAAACAAACATTAAGGTAAGGGAAAATTCTTGATCAGTACCCTGTACTTTGTCTCGAGTGATAATTTGGTTCCCAAATTTTAAAATGCAACAATTCAATACCCAAACTTTCAAAGTACCTAAACTTTTAAAATATGACAATCTAGTACCCGAACTTTTAAAATATGACAATCTAGTACCTACTATTAACCAGTCTATTAATCAGCTGTTAAGTGACATTTGGAAAGTCAAAAATGCCCTAAGAATGCCATCTAATTCTCTTTATCAACCATCCAAACATTGACAATAAAATGAACAATCCCAAATTCTAGATTCTTCTAAACAATCACCAACTTTTTTGAATAAAAAAGGTTAGGATTTGGGACTGTTCAGTTTTTTATCAACGTTTGGATTGTTGATAAAGATAATTAGACAACATTTGAAGGGCATTTTTGACTTTTCAAATGTCACTTAACAGTTGATTAACAGACTGCTTAACGATAGGTACTTATTGTCACATTTTGAAAGTTCATGTGCTATATTGCCACATTTTGAAAATTTGTGTACTGAATTGTCCCATTTTAAAGTTCGGAGACCAAATTATCACTCGAGCCAAAATACAAGATACTAATCGAGAATTTTCCCTTAAGGTAATAGCCTATTATGAGTCAAACATAAAATATTAACCACGTAGGGTCTGATTAAAAATGGTGTTCTAGAGGAAATAGTCAAGTTTAGATAAAAAAGAAAAGTTGGGAAATGGTCCAAGTCCAAAGGTCAACAATTTAAAACAAGGCTTATCACCCTCACATACTTAAATTTTTAGTTATTTAGTTTTTGCTGGTATTTAGAACAATTTTTGTTCACCATGATATACTTTTGAGGATCAGGCCACTTGCCCCCCTTTGCCCTTTATTTATTTGCATCACTAAATCTTTTTTCTTTCTTTAAATGAATGTTAGCTCAGTTTGGAAGGAGTACAAATGCAAATATGTGTTTGATTGCAATGCAAATAAATTTATTAAGACATGAAGCAAAATAAAGTAAAATCCAAAACAAAATTAAATAGAAAATTGCATTTTTTTACATTTGTACTCCTATCCATTTGTATTAGTGCAAAAAAATTTGCACTGCAACCAAACACGGCCTTAGGTGTTTGACAATTCTCCTATGATCGATATATTTCCATTAGAACTAGTGTTCTAAGCTTAGTGACAATTCCCACAATATATCTATAACAACTAGCCTAATCAGGATTCATCATGCATCCAAAATATAAACTTAATGATTGTAGATTATTTATGAATACATTAGGGGGTTTGCAGTTCAGCATAGGACCCTCTGTTTAGCCATAAAAAGCCATTCATTCCCTTAATCTTTGTCAAAATATTTGGAGTCTAGAATGGATAATTGGATATGACCCTAACGTTTGGCATTTATTTTTGACACAAAATGGGCGCTATCAGGCTCACTATATATGAACCATAAGTATACAAAGAAAGGGGTCGATGTTCATGTAAACTAATTCAAATGAATATCTATTTATCTATCTACACTATTATAAAGCTGAAATTTGTTCATATAATGATAACTTATGTCTTTACCTTATTTTGCACTGATAGGGCACATATCACATGCCTTGACTAATACGATATAATATTGATACTTGCCTTGATTTTTCTGTGGGTCATAAAAGTTCAAACATCATAAGGTTAATACTTATATCTTTATCCTTTTATCCTTATTTGCACACGTGTGTGACCTGTGACTTAAGAGGGTACGTGCATGTCATAAAAGTTAAATTCAAATGCATTTTTTTAAGAAAAACATTCAATACATACCTGATGGTCCTGTCCAAGCTAGAGTATGGACCATTCTATTCTTAGATCTATACACATGATTTATATTTACAATATGAAAAAAAAATGACAACAACTTCTTTGAGATATTCTCCTTCTATCCTCCATCCAAAACAGAGTTGCTTATAGTTACTGAGTCAAGGAAAAGCCACGAAAAGATAGTTTCTTGATGTGAAGATTTTGTGGCCTACTGAACGCCATGAATCAAGGCCCATCATTCAGTTGGCTTTGATATGTTGAATTGCAGTAGAAATGAAAGATCATCCTTGTTAAAAATGATGATACCTGTAGCTGCTTTCCTCGAAGAGGGATGAAAAGAATCATCCACGGAAAGTTTAATAGAGCTTTGCAGAGAGAGGTAAATTCCATTAGACTGTAAGTGTTTATCATGAATGAATGAAGCTCTCTTGTCCCAAATCAATCTGAATAAAATGAAAAGTGTAGCTAATAACACTTGTTTATCATCATAAGTCCTAGCATAATGATAAGTGAAAAATAGATGGTCCAACTTTCTTTATGTTGATCACATAAAGTACATGAAATATCTTCAGATACCATATATCTTTTATATGGTATATATACCATATGGAAAGAGTGCAAATTGATCCATACAAATGCAAAGTTGGTTTAATTTTGCATTGATAGATTTACTTCTTTTTAATATTGATAAACTTTGAATGTAAGGTTCTGTTTGATAAGAGTGCAAATGCCGGTTCAGTGCATGTTTATGCCTTGAGATTCATGTTTGCATCCATTACAACTAAAGTTATTTGGCAAGAAAATAAATTTATCATTGTAAAACAAAATCAACTTTGCATTTGTATGCCTGTTCAATGCATATTTATGCTTTGGGATTCGTGTTTGCATCCATTATAACTAAAATTCATTTGACAAGAAAATATATTTATCATTGTAAAACTAAACCAACTTTGCATTTATATGAACCAGAATGTACTTTACATATTTACATTTACACTCGTTCCAAATGGAGCTTAAAGTTTACATCTATTTTTTAGATGCAAATATGTCTATAAAGCTGTATGTACTGTCCTTATCAAAACAAAAATGCATTCTTATCTAATACTAACAAAATTAAACCAAAATACATACATACATATACACTAACCAGCATTTACACTATTCCCAAACGGAGCCATAATTAGATACAAATAAAGGGGTCCATACTCATACTCCATACTAAAGTAAAACAACTCAAAGGAATCTGTCCAAAGTGGGTTAAGTGTATGATTTTTACATTCATTGGCTCACTACAGGATAAAGCAATAAGTAATTTCAGCCAATTATCCAAGGAGGCCCCAAGTTTGATTACTGAATAGTTGAACCAGGACCCCGTGTTCCGGTTCCGGTGCTCGAATCCTGTACGGGAAGCCGAGGATACTGAGCCGGATCGTAGGTCCCACGCGCACGGAACCGGCCAGAGTCCGCCCACATGCCGAGACAAGGACAAAATTCCTCGAAAACCAAGCCGCCTCGTCGTCCTCCCCAATCCAAACAAAAATGTCTCCCTGCCCCACCTTCTCCAGCGCCCAGCAGGAATTTGAGTCTCCCGACGAGAGAAAATTCTCAACGGCTGCTATCGGCTATCCCCCTCCGGAATACTGTAGTCTGTAGACCCTCGGCTGTCAGATGAATGGTCTGGATTTGTCACGTCTTTCCATCGGAGAGAGAGGACGAGTCGGGACCAGAAAAATCGTTGAGGGTAATGGACCGCGACTCATGTTTAGCTTTTTAACTTCTCATGCCGGCCCGTGACTAACATTTGTCTGTGGCATAAAGGCCGTTGTTTGCGATCGGACGGTTGTGCACACGTTGCAACTTTCTCTCTGCATGACCAGAATGCAGTTCAAATCAGCCCCCCACAACGTCCACAGCACATCCCCGCCATGTATTGATAACATCTCCCGATGATAATATCCGGATTCCGGAACGATGATATCATCATCGGGAGATGCTTCTAATACACGGCGGGGATGTACCGTGGGACATTGTGGGGACTGATTCGGCCTTCATCCGTCTCGCAAAATAGGGTTTCTGACGTGGCAAGTTTCTCACAGGTGGACGAGAGGGTGTTTTTTTGCCCGCGCAATGGTCAGGTAAGTGTAGAGGGAGAATAGGTATCTCCATTTTGAAAGTTCAAATACTGTTCTTTAGAGAGAGAAATTAATGCCCGCCGTTACGTGTCACAGTTTCAAAAAGTAAAATTGAACCACACAGACACAGGGAAGGAGGAGAGGGAGCTTTTCTTGCTTTCTCATCAGTTTCTCCTATTCATCGTCGTCTCTAACCCACTTCATTTCTCTACACTTCACAGTAGATTTCCGATCCTTTGTATCTACATGGTTAATTACGAGATGCGGGTTTTCTCCGTCTTTTTTTCCCCTCTGGATTTACAAGTAAAGATAAAAATCGAGGGTTTCTTATCATGATTTCCTGCTATCGTTCCGGGCTTTTTCTGTTGAGATCGGCGTGTTATTCCGGGATATACCATCTGGGTTCCTATCCTGCGGTTCTGCTTTTGTAGTGTTGTATGCCTGAAAATGGAGGGATTTCAGCAGAAAAGATCGTTTGGTAAGGGGAAACCATATCACGGATGTGCGGTGACGCTCAGAAACATCTCTGATCAGAAATCCGACATTAATCTTGTCCTGACGGAGAGAGTTCTCAACGAAGGTCAGGCATCGGTTCTCTGTCGGTCTTCTTTTTCTGTTCTTTATCTTTCTGCTTACTTCCGTTTTTTACCATTCGTACTTTTTAAGGAATTTTGAATTCATCATTCCCGTCGAGTTTTGGGTTTCTTCTGGTGATGTTAAAGTAGGCTTTGCTTCCATTGTAATTTATGCGGTGGACGTTTTGTTATGGTGGGTATTAGCGTTATTGTGTCTAGTTGTAATGAATCTTGTGTTATGATGGGATATGATTGCAGTGATTAATGATTACTTTTTTTTTTTTTTTTAATTTTTCCCTCATAAACTTATTCTTTTTTATGCATTTGGCATTCTATTCTTTCGCTTGCGGATTTATTTTTTCGATTGACTTCTAGTTCTCCCCGCTATTTTCTAGATGTTGGCCTATAGTTTTTATGAGAAAGATCTCATCTGTTATTTTTGTTTCATCCTTGTTTTATTTTTTCTCCTGTTTTACATTTCCTTTTTTAGTTTTATTATTTGGTCTACTATTTCCGTGAAATATATATAGGTTTTGAGTTGAGATCAGCTTGGAATTAGAATTCCTTTTTTGGAGGAGGAATGAAATTGTCAAGGCATGTTATTTCCTATTTTAGATTGTTTATATCATTAATTATCACTCAAAGCATGCTATTTCCTGTTGTAGATTATTTATGTCACGTCTTTGAGTTGAGAGTTCAGACATTCTTCTGACTATTTCCTGGGTTGAACTTATTGTTTTGTGATCAATTTACTGGAAGGTGATTGTTCATTTAGTTTCATTTGTATTTTACATATTTTCTCTTGGAAAATTCACCTTGATATCATGGGGATACTTTTCCAGCAAATGTGCAGAACCAGAAACTGGTAGACACTTTGAAGGCGGCATCTGATTCCAGTTCTTGCAGTAGTGATCTTTCCGAACAAGGCCTTGTAAGAAGATTCACTGCTTGTGCTTGTTGGAATTATTTAGTATAATTCATTTTTTTCCTGTTTTTGTTAACAATCAAGCATCGCTATAGGCTCATTTATGTGAATTATGCTTCTGCTTTTTGTACCAAATCTTAATGATATCATTTTTCTGCAACTTTATGTTTTTTCTTGTTTAGTACGGGCTTGAGTTGAGGAAGGGTTCTTTGAAACAATCTGGTGGAACCCCAATAAAGAAGCTGCTGGCTGACGAATTGTCCAAAGAAATGGAATCAAGGCGACGGCCACCAAGTGTTATTGCAAGACTGATGGGCCTTGATGCAATGCCTTCTCCACAGCCTGTCCGTAAACAACAGAAAAAATTTTCAGAAAACTATCTCCAGAAAACAGCATCTATTGGGTTGCACGAAAAAAGCCCACCATACAATGTGCAATCATTTAGAATGGATAGTAATAAGCAGCATGAATTCAAGGATGTATTTGAAGTCTTAGAAACATCCAAAATGTCAAAAAAAAGCAATCCAACTGTTCAGAAGGGGAAGGCAAACTTTAAGCAAACCGATGAAAAAATGGCACTCATACGGGAGAAGTTCATGGATGCAAAACGTCTCTCGACCAATGAAAAACTTCAACACTCAAAGGAATTTCATGATGCATTAGAAGTACTAGATTCCAATAAAGATCTCTTTCTGAAGTTCCTCCAAGAACCAGATTCTTTGTTCACAAAACATCTCCATGATCTGAAGGGTGTGCCACATACTCTTCCAGCAGGTCACATAACAGTCTTAAAATCATCAAATGCTCCAAAGAATGAAAACAATGATCTTTACAGTGAATCAGGGAAGAAAGCTGTACAGTGGGGTGCCATGGACTCTCATTTCAGGCATGGTAGAGCTCATTTTACACACTGCCACGGTAGACCTAATATTTATAATTCTTACAAGTTATCATATCCCCAATCTCAAGGAAGGGATGAAACTTGTCTTCTTCCTACACGAATTGTTGTTCTGAAGCCAAACCTCGGGAAGATACCAAATACGGAACAGTCTCTCTCATCACCAAATTCTTCTGGAGGTTTTCAACCAGACTTTAGGAAGCATAGAGAGTTTCAAAGATTGGAAAATATGGAATTATTTGCAGAAGTTCGGGAAAGGAAGAACACATCAACCAATGTAGAATTTTTGAGGCATAGGACTAGACATTCCAGAGAACTTGCTAAAGAAATCACTAGGGAAATGAGGCACAGTGTCAATAGTGGTTCTATAAAGGTACCAAGCTCAGGTTTCAGAGGGTATGCGGGAGATGAAAGCTCATATAGCATGTCAGGAAATGATTCTGAAAATGAATTTGAGGTCATGACACCAATTTCTAGGTACTTCCCTGAATGTACAAGCAGATGTAGCCCTTCACCCTCCTATTCAACTGAGTCATCTGTAACCAGGGAGGCCAAGAAACGACTTTCAGAGCGGTGGAAAATGACTCATAGGTTTCAAGAGGTGGGACTGGTTGGTAGTGGCAGTACTTTGGGTGAAATGCTTGCTGTGCCTGACAGGGAAACTGTGCCAGTGACCTTAAATTTTGAGAACAGGTTTAGGAGTGATAGACTTGCAATGTGGGCCAGTCCTTTGGGCATTAGCAGTAGAGATGGTTGGAAGGATGGGTTTGTCAGAAGTTTGCCAAGGTCCAGATCTGTTCCAGCTTCTACTACTTTTGAAAGTCCGATGTTGAGTGTAAGAAATAGACCTGCTGCCAGTGGGGATAGGTCTTTGGTACCAAAAGAGACTATAACAAATCCTGCTGGTCATGTGGATGGGTGTTCGATGCCAAAGGATACCATCAATCAAAGCACCCACAGGTCAAGAAAGGGAAGTTCCAATCAAGAAGAATATTCCTTGTTTAGAAATCTCAGCTCCAGAAGTAAAAAATCTCAGGCTTCTCCTGTGACATCTGGGGAAAGTGATGACAGTGTACAAGAAATTCATATCAGCCTGGATGAACTGGGGAACAATCATACAGTAGCTGAACAAAAACCTATTGCTCCTGGGCTATTGGTCAGTGATGTCTCAGATAAAAGGTCAGTTGTTGAGGAAGTGGTAGTTGAGCCTGTGATTGCATCCTTGCCTTCTGGTACCCCTGAAGAAATAGAGCAACCACTCAGCCCATCAGCTTCTACTGTATTGGAGAAAGAAAGTGATTTTTCTTCTCATGATACAAATGAAACAATTGCAGAGGTTTGTGTACCCTTTCTTTCATTATATATTATTACTACTGATTGTTTATTATCATGTTGTGTTTCCTTGCTTTGGATATTTGATTTCCAGTTCAGTTTGTTCCTTCCTATGCTATTCTACTTTTAATTTTTAATCTCATATTTAGATTAGCACCCATGTAAATATGCATGATTGTTCTTATTGTGAATGGCTAAACTACCCTATATCTACAGTGCTGTTACATGGACTTGGGTGCTGGTTTGTGCCTCGGAGTCGGATTAGTTCTAATACATGGAGAAACATATGTTGGATTATAAATATTAATTTCCAATCATGCAAGTAATCTATGTCTGATTTAGGTATATTCCATTATTGATATCCAACATAGGAAGCTTCAACAGTAAATCATATTGTAGAATGATGATTAGAAACTGATAATGTATATTGTAAAATTATGTTTCACTCCACATTTTATGAGGTTTAAGGGACATTCGCAGTTTAGTAATGTATACATTCAAGCTCTAACTTCTAATTTTAATATTTATACTAACCATATAATTTTATGATTTATGTTGAGTATTTGAGAGAGGAGCCAATAGTATGTAAAACTGAAGGGGAGATACGCACTAAAGGAAGTGAGACGAGAATAGCCAAAATCATCCCATTGGTTTCTACTTTAAATTTTATTTGACGTGACGTTTGAAAGTGAGATAGTTATAATTGACATGAATACTTGATTATTATACAAACATTAAATTTGTTTTTGTTACTGTTCTTGGAAATTGAGAATTATGCTCCCGGATTATTTATCCCTATGAATTTAAATACATTATAATAGATATATAAATTATATGGCATGTGAGGTGTATAAAATGCATATTATTCTTTATATGAATATTAAATGTTATATAATATTGTCATATTTTAATATCTATAAATCTATAACATAATAATATAAAATTGCGCACATATACATGTATAAAATCCATATATACAATGCATAAATATATTGTGGCCCTGTCCAGGCCTAAAGTATAATATTGGGTCCTGGCCTGGCCTTAAAATTTCTGGACCTCTGATACAGGCTGGGCTGGGCCGGGCCGGGCTAGAAATGATCACCCCTAGGATAAATTTTAAAGAAATTAGGTCATGATTCATAAGGCCATCTACAGGTCATAGATCAACAAATGCTATTAGCGTAGTTAGCTTTTGCCTTTTGGGGTATTCTGTTAGTTGCACTTGTATGACATATTGACGTACTTAACATATTTTAGCTCAAATTTGTTATGTTCAGGATATTTTCTTCTCCAGTTTAAGATCTACTTTTTCCCTTCGGCTATTCTGATTAAACACAATTTTGCATCTTCACGTTTGGCAGAACTTAAATTGGATAATTTAATTCATAAGAAAGTTAAAACTATTGAGAGACTATCTAAATCTGACCCATTAGCCACCTTGCTAACACGAAAACCTATACCCGTTTTAATCCTAACAAAATATAATCCATTTCAGAATTCCTGATCCTTCTTCTACAATCCACATTAGAAATCTTGAATTCCACTCTTCTAAGGGGCTTTGTCCCAAGGTTGTGAAAGCAATCTTCTTGGATTTCATAGATAAATTTTGTTTCATACACCTGTTTAATGCTCGGTGAATGTGCAGATCATATAGTTCTGTTTGTCAAAAAAAAAAGTTCATGTAGTTCTTTTCTTTCTTTCTTTCTTTTTTTGATAGGATGATTATATGGTTCTTTCTCCCTTAGACGAACTTTATCTCTAGACAATATCAGCATGCTTTCCAAAGGTACCGTAGGGATTATCACTAAGAGATATTTTTGGTTATTGATTATCATGATAGAGGGTTCTTTTTCTGGTGGTTGATTTTACTAAAGGGAAACTATTTAGGGCCCGTTTGGCGCGTCTTTCTGTGCAATCTTTTGGCTGTTTACAAGCTGGGAAGACAGATTTTCAGTCTATTCCTGTTTGGCTCACAGAAGATCTAGCCACCAAAAGACAGTGCCGAAAAGACACGAGAAGCCCATTTCGGAAGCTTCCCGCGTCTTTCGCATTTTAATCTTGCATGGAAAGACGCGGGCAGATGCACGGAAAGACGTGCATCTGCCAAACTGTCTTCGGGCTGCACAGATCTTATGTCAAAAGCTCAATGCATCTTTTGACTGTCAGAGCTACAAGATCTTCTCAAAAAGACACGCCAAACAGGCCCTTAATATACGTGTTTTGATCTTCTATTTTAGTTATTTGGTTATTTGTTGCACTTCACCTTTCAAACAGTATGGTGTCTTCTTATTTGGGCTTTCAAGTTGATATTTTCCTTGGGATGCTTATAATTTCCTGTTAGATGAAATCTATTTGTGATTCCATATTTTTGTACACATTTTTTCTTCCAATAATGATCTGTCATATGTCATATTATTTCAGGAATCGTCCAGTAGGTCTATCAAAGGAGGTTCACTTCAGTGTCCTGTAAATGAAACAAAGTCTCCTGTAAGCCCCAAAGGGACTGATCAAACTAGTCCTGTTTCAGTTCTTGAACCACCATTTGTAGAAGAGACATCATCTGGTTCTGAATGCTTCGAGAGGATCAGTGCTGACCTCCATGGTTAGTTTATTTGAATTAGTTATTGTTCTTTTGTTCACGATTTGCCCGAACAACTTTAACCATCCCGTCATGTTAATTACTCCGTATGAGTTCTTTGTGGCAGGGCTTCGTCTGCAGCTTCAACTTCTCAAGTTGGAGTCATCAGATGCATACACAGAAGGACTTGGAATGGTTGTCCCAAGTGATGAAGAGACTGGAGAGGTATCCTTCAGTGTTCTTGCAGAGAAGGAAAAAACTGCCAGAGCGTTGAGAACTGAAGTGAACAGAAACTTCTCTTACCTAGTTGATGTGTTAACAGACTCGGGTTTTTATGATGTGGACCGTGAAATTATCCCGTCAATGTGGAACTCCTGGGAATGCCCAATTTTCCCTACGGTGTTTGAGAAGTTAGAAAAGAAGTATGAGGAACAGACATGGCTGAGGTCAGAAAGGAGGCTGCTATTTGATCGTATAAATGCGGCGTTGATGGAGATGTGCTGCGCGTTCATGGACCCACACCCGTGGGTGAAATCATTGATGAAAAAGGGTTCCTTTGGGTGGGAAAGACAATCACTTGCTGAAGAGTTGCGGAAGATGCTGGTTAGCCAGGAAAGAGATGTGGGTGTGGATTCACCAGACAAAGCGCTGGGGAAGATGACATGGTTGGACCTTGGAGATGACATAGATGCAGTGGGTACAGAAATAGAGAAGTTGTTGCTAGATGAGTTGGTAGGAGAACTTGTAATCCTGTAAAGGAAGGCCACGGCGAAAACTGCTACTTGTAGACCGATTCAAAGAGAAGAAAATCATACATTTACCGAAATGAGATACGAATTTTGAAGAGAATAAATAAACAAGAGAATTCTAAGTTAAGTTGAATTCCGACGCCAGATCCGGGGGCTGATCGTTTTCTTATTCTTCTCTTCTATCGAGGTGGTAATCTGGGTCTTTGGAGTCGTGGACTGTCTACAGACTAGAGACAGGCAGGGATTGAGTGGGTCCGTGGAAATGTTACCAGATTTCTTCCACAGTTCTACTCCATACCTTTGTCCTATCCATGAAACAACTTTCCTCCTTTCCATGAAGCCATCCAACCATAATGCATCAAAATCAATGTATCACCCAGCTTTTCCTCGATGACCAGATCTTATTAAGAAATGATTATCCGAACAGGAAAAAGCATATCGTATATCATCATATTCTCAGAAACGAAGAATGACCAATTAAAGCAAAGTTTAAATATTTGATTCTTTTTTATTTTAGGTAGGCAATGGCCTATGATATGAGTGAGAAAGGCCAACGCACTCTCACATGACCTCACTGATCTCTCGGGAAATCCTCGCCAAAAAGATGCATTGGCAGTTGGTCTGAACGAGCACTTTGATTGCCTTCTGTGTTCTATGGGTGGGTTTTCATTTTCTAATCAGAGTTCAGAGACAGACTAGTATACAGCATATAGAAAAAAAAAAAAGCTCCAATGTGGTTAGGTTTGCTTATATTCCTAGGTCAGGTAATATAAGTAAGAACTCACCGTTTTCAACAATTTATGGGGATAAAACTTTGGCTGTTTGGGGGCTTTGTGCACATGACACCTGACCCCATTTAGTCCCTTGTTTGTGTTTTTAATCAAAAGAGTATTGATTGCAAATATTCATTTATCCCCTATGCACATAAACAACTCAGGCTGTTCCAAACAGCCAAAGTTTTCTAATATCTTGGAAGGTTGAGCATTTCATTCGACCAATGAAATTTGAACATACCACCAGTGTTTTAAACCAAACACCACCAGTTGATGTGATTTTTCTCCCAAACACTAGCGTGTTCATAATTTTCTCATTTTTCTCAAGTGTATCAATTTAATTAGTGGAGGTGTTTTGGTATCTATCAAAAACATCAGGGGAAAAAACATGTCACTCTGAATGAAATTATTTGTCTTGTCTTGTTAAAATATCCATGTAAACTGGCGAACAACTCGTAGGTTCTGACTAGTGTCTCTATTGGGTCATTAATTAGTCGTTTACGTTTCAAACTAACACACTACAGAAATCCCAAGCACCAAGCCACCAACTCCAATTTCCCTGTCTTTTCCTTCCCTTCCCAACCTTTTCTTTCAAACTAAACATAGCCTAAGTTCTTTTCATTCATTTTCGCCACTAATCGCTATATATAGGCATAACATACTGAAGCACCCTCGCTGATTCTCATTTGCAGCACACTCTAAGCCGCTGCCTACTTACTTCTTGTAGCCCTCACGGTGACATGCGCTACCTCGACTCGAATCCTCGACGAGCAACCCCCTGCTCCGGCAGCCATTCCTGTTGAAACACCACCCGCGGCAACACCACCAGGTGCAGCGGCGGCTGCAACTACAACAAGTGCCACCATCGCTAATACGGATCCCCACCACCCATTATCCTTCTTCATGCATGATGAGGGTGGATTTAGCTCTCCAATGACATTGTGACACATGGCATCCCAAAACAACTGGACGACACTCAGATGCCACCTAGGCGATGATTTGGAGTCCCAGATCATAGTTCGTCTTCGCCCCGACCTGGCAACCTGCCTTTATTGCCAACCTAGCAACTTCAACCACAACTTAGGCCGGCTAGGCGTCACGGGGATAGTTCTATAGCAGAAGGAACCCGTGCGGCATCTAGGCCAAGGCAGGCCAGGACAAGCCTTTGTGTGCTTGGAGGCTAGGAGTTGCCCGATGAGGTGGCTCCACCAAGGTCAATAGCACTGGATCATGACCTCAAGTCGCATGGCCGGGACACTCGGCTGGCTCTGGTCGGTCCATGGGAGGCGCCTCGTACGTGCTAAAAGGGGAAGGCCCTAATGTGAGGTGACTAGGCGCCGATGAGAGCTGACTGGGAACCGATGTGATGGGTCTCATGTATGCCGATGATGTGGGCACCTGAGTGCCATGTTGAGATGCAACCGCTTGGGCCGGAACACACCCGTGCGCTAGGGGCAACGGGATAGCTTATTCAGCTTAGGCAAGGGGCTGGCGTGGTGAAGAGTCATACTTGAGTCAGGCCCACATGTCAAGCCTCCCTTGAGTGTCGGCAGTGCAGTGTCAGTCCATGCACTGTCCCCATGAGCATGTGTGGGCCCATGAGGAACCTAGTAGCCATGCTAGCCATTAACCAGGGCTGCCACGCAAGGGATGATGGTCTAGGAGTGCCAAGGTTAGGCACCCAAGGAGGTCGACCACACCTCCTCATAGAGTACATTAAGATTTTGGTGGTCAGCCTAAAGATAACATCAATTCTCCCAAAAATCTTACAGGCGAAAATGACGGTGATGTCCCTTAACGTAAGCCTGCCAAGCGTAGGCAAGGCTAAGCCTGTTTCAGACCGTAACAGGCTCCCCCACTCATTCCATTTTCGTCCTCGACAGTGGCTCTTCTCGTGAATGGGCGTCTGTGTCCCGCGCCATCCACTTGTTTGCCAGTTCCTGGGCTCGCTTGGCCAACCCGGGTCTCGCCTATATTGGTGTCCATTTATGGGGACGGAACCATTTCACCATGCCGGCCTGCCTGGACTTCACCCCTTGTGTTGAGGTTACTCAAACCGCGCAATGGCTATGCCGTTGAAATGTGTGAGAAGGGCCCTCAAAGAAATTGGATGTGTGTGCTTCGCGGAGGTCTGCCCCATGTATCATCTTGACCTCAAGGCTCGACCGTCTTCTTGGTAGCTTTTCGGTGGTGCTACCGAACACGATGTGATTGGTCTACTCCTGCTGTTGGCGTGTGTCTTGGGTGTACCCTTTCACCATGCTGGCTTGCAAATTTCACCTCACTGTGTTCGGGTTACTCAAACATAGCCATGGCTTATGCTCTGTTGACCCTCAAAACTACACTTCACCTCGCCGGTTCGGGCTACATCTTTGCTCCGAGGGGCCCCAATGTGCTGCTGCCTCAAGGAGATCTGACCGCTTTGTGTGCGAGTAGTGGCAACTTTTACCCATGATGTTGTCGAACATGCACTCGCCTTGTGATGTATGTTGTTGCTGCAAATGTTTCGCTTGTTGATGAACTGAGCATGTCCTTTGATGCATTGCCGGTATAAATCCGCCATGCTCCAACGACTAGTATACCCACATTCCTATCATTCCAATATTGCGGCTTCAACCGAGGACCCATGATGCAAAACTATCACCTTAGTGATATTCCTTGACCAACCGTCAACGCCAACCAATTTCGGATTGTTGTCCACGCCTCAGTAGTGCCTCAGACAAAGCTACGGAACAATGCCTCATTTGTCATGAAACCAAGATGTAGGCGCACCACCCACAACTCACTAAAATGAACAACAACTGATGTTTGTGAGGAAGCATGACACTCCCCCACTCAAACCGCCACAGTATGCCTTCCACGAAAAGGCTCACGCGTCTGACCCCACATGAACACAACAACCAATGTGCCTGCCCCCATAAGGGCGTTGTTTTGGGGTCATTGGAATCGGGACATGATGAATGGCCTCTTACCAGGCCTGATGTGAAATCTTGCTTGAACCCGAGTGGAAGTGCCTAGGGACCGCACCCCACGATGTGCTGCTTGTCGTGATGATTGCTTCAACTGGCTCTGTGCTAATATGTTGTGATGCCAACTGCAGCAGCAATTGGCTAGCTTGCTCTGATACCAACTGTCACGGGGGTAGTTCTACAGTGAAAGGAACCCGTGCGACGTCCAGGCCAAGGCAGGCCAAGACAAGCCTTTGTGTGCTTGGAGGCTAGGAGTTGCCCGATGAGGTGGCTCCACCAAGGTCAGTAGCACTGGATCATGACCTCAAGTTGCATGGCCGGGACACTTGGCTGGCTCTAGCCGGTCCATGGGAGGCACCTCTTATGTGCTAAAGGGGGAAGGCCATGATGTGAGGCGACTAGGCGCCGATGAGAGCTGATTGGGAACCGATGTGATGGGTCTCCTATATGTCGATGATGTGGGCACCTGTGTGCCATGTTGAGAGGCAACCGCTTGGGCCGAAACACACCCGTGCGCTAGGGGCAACGAGATAGCTCATTCATCTTAGGCAAGGGGCTGGCGTGGTGAAGGGTCATACTTGACTCAGGCCCGCATGCCAAGCCTCCCTTGAGTGTTGGCAGCGCAGTGCCGGTCCATGCATTGTCCCCATGAGCTTGTGTGCGCTCATGAGGAACCCTAGTAGCCATGCTAGCCATTAACTAGGGCCATCCCACAAGGGTGATGGTCTAGGAGTGCCAAAGTTAGGCACCCAATGAGGTTAATCACCCCTCCTCAAAGAGTAAGTTAAGCTTTTAGTGGCTTGCCTAAAGATAACATCAATTCTCCCAAAAACCTTACAGGCGAAAATGATGGTGATGTCTCTTAACGTAAGCTTGCCAAGCGTAGGCAAGGCTAAGCCTGTGTCAGACCGTAACATAGGAGCACCTCGTCTAGGGCCGACCTATAGCACCTCGTCACTGGACGATGTGACCTCGACGCGAGGAGCGACCTCCCTCGAGGGCTTGCCAACCTGACTAAGGTCCATGAGGCGACCTGCGAGTTGTGCTCGCCAACAAATTTAGTATGCATATCCCGACACTCCTAAGTTTCTCGGACGTTGATCCACATAACGAGTGTTCTGGATGATGGCCAACGTGCGTGGCGGTTACCTCTGGGAATCTTGGACCAGTTAGGCGATCTCCCGAAAATCTCGGATGCGGTGCGTGAAGCCCACGCCAAACAATGCCTATATAAAGGCATCAACCCCAACCATCCAGAAACTTATGTTCGGGACGATGACAGTGATCGACGACGAGCTGACCGAAGGACATGAACTTGGGTCTGGCATGGTTGGAAAGTTACAAGGGTTCTATGTGACCAGCTCGGAGGACGGCAGTAGCCAGACCATAGCATTCACTGCAATGTACGTAAATGCCAAAGGATACGCAACGCTGAAGACTATTATCAATGCCAACCAGCAAACAACCGATGGAGAAGAAACTTTGCTGGAGGTTACCGTCTATCTCACATATTAAGGGGTGTCAACTTCAAGTGTTAAACGACTAGCTAATTAATTATCAAATATGTTGAGATCTTCTCTCTATATCTGGAGTGACCAAGAGTAGATTATTACATCCTGGTTTGCTGGCAAAAATACATAATTAATATGTGGATTGTTCTGTTTTTATGAATGAAACTAATTAAGCTCCCTCTTTCAATTGCTTCCTTTTAAGTTCTTGTACATAATTGATTTTACCTACTGATTAATGGCCTACTAATCAAGCAAACTAAAGATATGGGCAATACTGCTAACACTAACAAAAGTTCAGTTGTTTACTCCATCTCATGGGCTTTTAATAATTTTTTGGGTTTTATTTACAACACCTTCACATATCATTCACTACCCTCTTAATTTTGTTTCATTTCCTCACTTGTTACTTACTGTTCCAACTCTACAAATTATAATAAGGTTTATGAGGTGGGTTGAACGATTAAAACCCCTAAATTTTGATGCTTTGTTTATCTTATCTAGTACTAATGATAACAAAATTTTTAGCTATTCAAGTAGGGAAGATTCCTTGTAGTGGCACAAACTCTACAATGTTTATCGACTTATCCTTTAGAAATGCTCTACTTAACATTAAGGAAGAAGGTTGCCTTCTTCTTCTCTCTCCTCTCTCTCTCTCTCTCTCTCTCTCTCTCTCTAACTTTGGAAGGAAAGGCCCGACGAATCTTGGGGTAGCTCGCCCGGCCCCGATAGCCCATTAAGCAGATGCATTAAAATGTCCCGAGTTGTTTGTTTGCCCTTTTCTATTGGCAGCATATTGATAGCCGGGAAGCAGATGTATTTCAAAGAACTGATTTCCCCAATATAACTTGGGGCGGAGAGAGAGAGAGAGCTAAAGTGTACAAGTACAACATAATAGTTCTCATTCCATCATTGGAGCTACAAGATAACATGGACTAAGTAGTAGAGACCTATTCTTCCGTCCAACACGACGTAACCCAGTGAAGATTAACGAACCAATTCAAGCACGCGAAGGAGCAAACACACTAGTGAGCGAGGTAGACGCTGAACTGAAGCACGGTTTCGACGCCATCGGTCGTGTGTTGATCGGACAGATGAAGGGTCTGAATCGTGGCGTATCCTTTTGCATTCTCATATTTTCCGGTGCCTCCAACTATAGCAATCTGAGACTCTGGGGCTGCTGTTCGGTGGACACCGAAGAAGCTAATGCTGTCATCCTCATGACCACCACCATGGAACAGTGCCGTGAGTGCCATTGTCTGGCTGCTCCCACCTAACGAGCTGGCCAAGTAGAACCCTTGCGCCTTCCCTACCACGGAAGACCCCATCTCATGTCCTTCAGTTAGTTCATCGTCGATCACGGTGATTGTCCCGAACATGAGCTTCTGAAGAGTGGCTCCGGCTGGTAGCTGGCCGGCAGCGACAAAAGGAAGATTGTTGCCGCCATTGACCACATTGTTGTTACCGTTGTTCTGAATAACGGTGCTGCTGGTGGTTGTGCCGCCAAGGCCAGCAAGGAATGGAACGTTATTGTTGTTGACAATGCCGTTGTTACCGTTAAAGAGTGGAACTCCTCCGTTCACGGGGAAGACACCACTATTCGGTCTGGAGAAAGGGATACCGTTCATACCGGAGGTGGCAACGATCCCGGTCACCACCTTCGCCGACGGTGTTGTCCCGCCTAGGATATCGTGCATGAAGAAGGACAATGGGGGGTTTGCGTCAGGGTGTGTTGCGGTGACACTACTAGTGGTAACTCCTACCCCAGCTGCTCCATTACTTGGTTGCGTGATCGCCGGAGCCGCCTCCGGTGCCACGTCAGGGACCGGTGTTACTGCAGGAGGTACCGCATCAGGAACAAGTGCTGTCACAGGACTCGATGCCTCTGGTGCAGTCGCAGGAGCCGGTGGTGCTGCGTCCTCCTCCATGAGGGTCCTAGCTGAGTTGGCACATCCGACGGTGATGGTTATCAAGAGGACGTAGATCGTTGTCTTAAGTGTTGCAGAAGCAAGTGAGAGATGTTTAGCCATTGGGGGAGTTGTGGTTTGAGAGGAGATGCTGCGAGTCCAAGTGATTTTCGTTGGTTTGGGGAAGGAAGCTGAGGAGTGATATATAGTGGTAAGAGATGGTTGTAGTCGACAGTGGAGCTGATAAGATGTAGTAGTTGTTCAGTAAATTTGGTTTCTTCTCAAATCATCCGTGTTTGGTTGTAAACCAAAACCCTATTTGCTATTTGTCTGTAAGTAGATTAAGTGGAGCAGACGTGGACTGGGTAGTTGGGTTCCAATTACCAAATAAGGGCGAGGTGTGGTTGGAATCCAAGTGTTGGTTGGGTTTTATCAACAGAGAAAAGGGCGAGGTGTGGTAGAAGCCAGAAGGAGATGCTATTATTTTGATTTTCTTTTTTGTTGATGAATTGTATTTTATATTTAATGCTGCTCATTTTTTTCTATAGTTTTTTTATTAAAAAGACATGATAGGGGAAAAACTTATAACCAATCAGCTGCCTTTTCAATTTTCATCAAAATTTACCTGGGAGTCTAGGACTTTGAGGCACCGCATCTGCTACCAATAGACGCTCACAACAGATTTCCTAATGTACAGCTGCAGTGGTCGGTTGAGATAATGTCGATACCGTTTCATTGGTAGCAGATTTCTATTCCCTGTGATAGTCTTTGGGGCATCATTCATTTGCACTGTCATAATTTTGCATCTGTATAAATTCATTTGTATTGCTTTGTCCCCTTAAGAGATAAAAACAATGTAGAGTCTTTGATCAGATTTACCCCTGATGATTTCGATATTTTGAGAAAGCATTTCATGCCACAGTGTCAGCATGCGAGAGGGGATGGTCCTCACACTTCTTCACATCATATTTTTATTTATGAGAAGATATTCTTAATCTATGGCAGAAAGTGACTGACAGGATGAAGATGGTTTTGTTTGAGGAGCAAATCGGAATTATTTTGAATATGCATGCGGCCCCCTATGATGCGATGACTTGAAACGCTGGCATAATGTATTTTATTGTGGGTAGAACTGTTCATCGGCCGGGCCAGGCCAGGCCAGGATCGGGCTGGGTTTTGCCTCTTTATCAATAAAATGTGTAGGTCTGAGCCCGAATCTGGTTTGATCAGTGGGCTTAGATCTTGAACCTGAGCCCAATCTATACACAAAATGTCTTGTTTTCAGTGTAATTTTATATTAATTTAATAATAATTTAATAAAATAACAAACTAACTAGTGAATGGCCCCGTATTAAGTATACGGAGAATCAATAATGCTAAATTTACATTATGGAATCAATAATGTTAAATTTATATTATTAATATTTTAAATAATTATTAAAATTTTAAGAAAGATTTATTTCAAAAAATAGCTTTTTAATAATTATTAGAATATGGATAGTTTTCTTTTGTCTTGATATGTAGAGGGTTAATGATTAACTGAGATTGATAGAATGTAAGCAGAAGTGGTTGTGGATAATCACATTTACATTTTTAGTATTTTTTAGGAATGAATTGAAAATGGTGGTAGTGGGTTGTGGGCTTTACCAGCAACTTCTCGGAAAATGCCATGTGTCTAACTTTCCAGAAAAATGAGAAGGCCATGTGTCTAAATGGTGGGGGGTTGTAGTATGGGGTAGTGGGTTGTGGGCTTTAGTAGGAATTTCTCAAAAATTGTTGCATGTCTAGCTTTCTAAAAAATGAGAAGGCCACTTGTTTGAATGGCGGTAGGGGGCTATGGACTTTAACATCTTCTAAAAAAAAATGCCATGTGTCTAAATTTGAAAAAGCCACGTGTCTGAATGGTGGGGCTGTAGCCTAAAAGCCTTAATTAAAAATTTTAAGTAATATTTTAAGTAAATAATTAAAAATTTAGTTAATATTATTACCCAATAACAAAATTAAAATTAAATATTAAAATAAATTGTTAATAATAATAAATATGGTTAAGTTAAAGCAATAAACAGTTCAAATTAAATTTAATGACATGTATAATTTTATGGGTTTGACATATAAGGGTCAATTTATGTGGACCCGTAGAGTATATGAGTGTCTTAAAAAGGCAGATTATAATTTATTTCATTATATTATAATAATAATAATATTATTATTATTATTATTATTTAGTTAATGAAATAATAATTAAACAGTAATTAACAATAAATAACAGTAATTAAATTGTAATTAACAGTAATTATAATTACAGTATTTTAAAATGTAAGTAATAGTATTTTGATAATTATAGTATTTTAATAAATTACTATAAATACAATAAAAATAATGTAATTATTAGTTAACAATAATTATTTTTAAATTGTAATAAATTACATTTAACAGGATTTATTAACAGGAATGTATTTATTAATTAACAGTATATTTAATAATTACGATATTTCTAAATAATTAACAATATTTATTAAAAAACAGAATTATTTAACAGTAATTAACAATAATTAATTACTATATTTAACAGTAAGAAACGACATCGGACTAATTAGAAGTCCAACCCGAAAACCCGTTATCAGTAATTAACAACATTAACAGTAATTATATTTATTTTTTTAAATTTAACACTAATTAAATTTCTCCTAAACTACCTCCCTACTTTCTCCAAAGTTATCTTTAATTCCTATTTATCTGATAAATTATCTCTAATTCCTATTTATCTCCAAAATTATCTCTAATTTAGTAGAGAGTTTCTCTCCTAAATTATCTCTAATTCCTATTTATCCTCTCCCCTACTTTTTATCTACATCTATCTAAAGAAAGTTTGGATTAAAAAATTGAAGAATTATTTAAATATTCTAATAAAATTATAAAATAACTTTAAAATATTTATTAAATAACAAAAAATAATTTTATATTTTTACACATTTAATAATAACTATATTTTAAATAGTTAAAGTAAATAGAATTATGTAATAAATTTAAAAAATTTCTTCAAAGTAGAAAAATAATTATGACATAATATTTAAATTAATAATAATTTAATATTTTTACATAATATTGTAAATAACTAATTTCACTTATATCAAGTAATAATTCGAAAAAATAAATTTAAAAAAAAATAATATTTATTAATAATAATTTTAAACTCTTAATCTGTACTTATTATATAATTATATATACTAAAATTAAATTTTATTGTATTTCAGTAATTATTTATTGTTTTTTGTGATAAATTTATTTTCAATGATTATATATAAATTTATTTTATTTTGTTATTTAACATAAAACTTTCAATAATTATTGGAGATTAAACTACTATTATTCATTTTTTAAAATTTAATTTATTGTACTTATTGTATTTTTGTTATAACTTATAGATTAATTAATATTTATTAGAGATTAAATTATTATTTGAGATTATACTATTTATTGACTAAGTTAATATATTTTTAGTACTTATTGTATTTTTTGTAATTATTGTATTTTTTCATTATCAATAATTATGTATTTTTGCTATAAATTTTCAATAATTATTGGATATTAAACTATTGTTATTTATCGGAGATAAGACTATTGATTTAGCTAAAATTATGAGTGTTCATGAGTTGGTTCAGTCCGACCATAGGCTATTTGGCCAACCAAATTAACCTGGTCAGGTTGGGGAGTTGGTCAGTTGAAACCGATTAACCTTTTGTGAAAATTGACCTACTCAAGTTGTATTGGTTTGAGTCGTTTTTCACAAAAGGTCAATCAATTCAAAAGATTTAAACTTAAAAATAAAATAAAATTTTAAAAATTATAGTGCAATTTTTAAAAAATAAATTTAAAAATTAGATTTATGAAATAAAACATTTTAGACTAAGAAGTATGGGAAATTTTTGACTTTTTCATATTAAAAATTATATTTAAAATATAAAATATTAATATATATCTATGGTTAGGTTGTTCGATTTTGGTCAGTTTACAAATGGGCAAAGTGAAACTGATCCAACTTGGTCGAATTGGGAAACTTTTTAACCAAAGCCGACCTAAAATACTAGCAAACCAATCAACTCGGGTCAACTTGATCAAGTTGGTGGTTTCGTAAGTTTGATGAATAAACCTAAATGAAATTAATTATTATTATTTTTGTATTATAAAAAAATTATTAAAAGTAGTATATAAAATGTGAATAATTATTAATTATTTAAAAAGTTGAATTTATAAAACAATTGTATGCTCTTATGTGTTTCTATTATGGTCATTTACTGGAACACACCTTATAGTTTTACATATTTACTTAAACCTACCTTATAGTTTTCATTTTACTAAAACATCCCATATATTTACAACTTATTTACTTAATCAACCTTTCATTAAAGAGTGTTTGTTTTGCCATTAGGCCCATGGTTTTTTATTCCAAAAATACTCTTAACACTTTTTTATACAAAAAACAAAATTGGCCAAATATAGCCAATAGAGTGGTTGCCCGTGTCTTATTAAGGGCAATGATGGTATTTTTATTTCTATTTTCTTTTGATTAAATTTATTTAAATGAACATTAGGTTCAACACTATTATTTTCCACTATCATCTAATGGAAGATTGATTAAATCTGTTGCAAATTATAAGTGGCGTTTTAGTAAAAATGCTAATTATATGGTAGAATTTAGTAAATCCATAAAACTATAAGGGTATTTTAGTAAATGACCCTTTCTATTATTTATCTTTTGCTTAATAAATCTCGTACATTGTGCAGGTCCCTGCTAGTTTATTATATATAACATAAATGCTTTTTTATTATATATAATAGTATTCGGTCGGGCTTGGGTTCGAGCCGGGCTTATTTGAGAAAGCCCAAGCCCAGCCCAAAAAATGACCGGGCCTGATATTTAAAGACCGAGCTTGAGCCTACAGGCCTGAAATTTTGTACAAGCCTAAAAAATAACAGTTCGGGTCGAGATAGGCCATCGGGCTACCCGGCCCATGAACAAATCTAATTATGGGTCTCTCTCCAAATGGTCCTGTGGGTTATTTTGTATAGAAACACTTTTTCTTACTTAATTGGTATCCGAGACACATTATATTTATTCAAGTGGAATTAATGTAAATATATAATAAGATCATGTAGTAAGTTATAAAAAAGATTAGGAGTTTGAGAGATAATTCCTATGTGTGTGGGATTAGTTGCCAATAGTACTACTTTAAGGCCTCGTTCGTTTTTCCGTAAGTTACTTATCTGGGTAAATATATTTACTTGGGCAAGTTTTTCTTAGGAAATACTTATCCAGGTAAGTGTATTTACCCATGTTCTTTTATTTCTCAAGTAAAAAAGGAAATGACAATTTTAACCATAAAAATATATTATTAAAAGAGGGCATTTTGTCCAATTCAAGTGTTAGAAACTTTTCCCAAAATGAGAAAGTTATTTGACCACTTAGGAAATGGGTACCAGGAAAATAAATTTTCGCTGATCCCCACATTAATTTGAAAAAAGAACGTAGGATTCTTAGTCAATAGAAACCAAAATCTCAGACTAACTTTCCCTCTCAAAATCCAAAAAACAAACGCACCCCTAAGGTTATGTTTGATTTGAAGGAAAAGGTAGGGAAAGGAAGGGAAAGACAAGGAAACCAATACAAAGTTTATAAAAATTTCCCTACCTTTCCCTACATTTTCCTTCAAACCAAACATGGCCTAATGGTGTGTGCATAGAATTTTGTTTTAAGAGATCCCATCTATAATGTTACAAATTACCACGCCATCTGTGAATTATGATCTCCATCATCCACCATCATCCAGGCCTTATGGGATCGTAATTATGCTAATAACAAATCCGGATGCCATTATTTACCAGCATCCATCTTCTGAGCTGTTTTAATTAATCAAATGAATATTTATGACCAAAAACGACAGAAATATAAAATCCGAAAATCGCAGTGCCACCCCAAATTATTCGGGCACATGCCAAAATTTGATAAACAAAGCCACTGGTGAGAAGATAAAATTAGCTTGTTCCGAAAACGTGTACGACATCAGGCTTCAGTTCAGGCTCAATCTGGATAAGTAGTTGTGTACTTTTAAATCTTGGGCCCTGTTTAAGGTCAAGGTGCCAACTGATAGAGAGGTTAAAAACTGATTAGCATTAATTCCACAAACATACATATTATGAATCATCTTGTCACAACGCCCAGTACACAAAAAACACAGAAGGGGGAGAGAGGATACATTTTTGAGTCCTGCTGCTTAACTTCAACCAGAAAGAGAGAGAGAGAGAGAGGCAGTGTTTTTATTAAATATTTATGAATGCCCCACCATCGATATCGCTAATAACTGATGAGGTATACGGTGAATTTAAGAAGGTTTTTGCCAGCAGGAGGAGGTTCGTGGGCGGCATACTGATCAGAGGCAGAGTCTGGGGTCACGTCCTTGACAGTTGCATACCCATTTGCACCACTGTACTTGCCAGTTCCTCCAATAACAGCAATGTGGGACTCATCAGCTGCGACATCACTCCGATCCACCCCAAACAAGTTCAAGCTATCCTTGAATCCTCCATTAGCAAATCTGACCGTCATTGCCACCATGTGGTTGCTTCCATCCTCCCAACTTCCCACATACATCCCTTGCGCCTTTCCGATTAGCCGCGACCCTTTAGCTTCATCTCCTCTCAATTCCTTGTTGATGGTTATTACGGTCCCAAACTCCAATCCTTGAAGCGTTGCCATGGCCGGGAACGGTAGCCGCACGCTAGAAATGTCAAGGGTTTGAGTGGAGGGCCCCGTCACCGTCGGTGGCAGTTCAGGTGGGGACATTCCTTCAGTTGGAGGGAACAGATCAACAGGCTCTGCAGGAAATGGACTCTGCTGGTTTGTGGTCGCCGGGATGGACGATGGACGGGTGTCACGAAGCACATCGTCCATAAAGAAGATGATTGGGTGAGGGGTGACACGCGGGTGTGGGTATTGTGATTGATCGCCTAGGATGCGAGCTGATGAGGCTGATTCATTGCTAATGAAGAGAAAGATGATCAAGTTAAGAATGCAGGTGTAGCTGGTCTTCCCCATGATCACAAGGTGATTGTGGAATGTTGAGAACCAATGGGGACTGCAGGAGCAAAGGAGAGGAGAGGGCTCTGGTTCTGGAAATGAGATATTGGTTTAGGTTTTGAAGCGTTAATCGAACTACATTGGAGTTGTTGTTCATCACTTAAAGACTTCAACTTTATATCGTCACAAAGTATGACTTTATTTTGAACGTGGTAAGTGGTAACCAAAACCAAAATGAACCAGTACCTACTCATGCATCAGAAACACAAATAATTGTTCAAGTCAATCGTCCCTCGTGGTATCATATATGTTCCTTTGCTAATGCTCAATCAGAGCGTTGAACTTCTTCTGCGTTTGTGTAGAACTAAATTAATTAATGAATGTGCATAGGCCTGACACAGTCCCAAAAGTGGACACCTGGGTAAATTTCTCCCAAAAGTGGCCTGACACAGTCCACGGAAGGAGCTAAATCTTGAGCCTTAGAGAAAGGGGGAATTTCTCCCTCATTAATATTTAGTAGATTGGAAGTACTTTTCTTAATTGTACTCTGAGCCACAAACGACTAATTCAATTATTCAAGCATATGGGCCTATAAGATGGATCATATCCTTGATATTACTGATCAGTACGGTTGGTCTAATAAAGTAATAATCAATTGGCCAGGGTTTAACAACTGTTTACGTAGTACTTCTCTATGCCGCATATATGGTTGATTATAAGTGGGTACAGCAGCAACTCCGGCCCTAGAAGAGATATCTCTGATCACAAGAGCAGAGGAGAAGATGGGGTCTCTCACATTATCTGTTTATCCTCCTAAAAGAGAGAGAGAGAGAGAGCGTGCGCGCCCTTGTTGTTAGGAGTGTCAATTGGTTTGGTCTGAATATGAGTCCATTATAAATGGATCAGATTTAATGAATATTTGGATTATTTTGGACTGGTCCAATTTAATGTCTAAGCCATTTAATCTGTTTAAATTCATTTTGATTTAAATTGGTTTTAACCCAAACCTAGTCCATTGACACATATATTCTTATCTTATATTAATGGACCAGATCTTAATTTAATCCAACCCAATTCAATATAAATTTATTATGAACGGACCAAGTCTAATCCAATCTAATAAATATTTTGAACCAGATTAGTTCAATTCAATATGTCTTGTTAATCCATCCAATCTGTCCAAATTAATTTTGAATTAGACGGAATCCAATCCAAAATCGATCCATTGACACCCTTACTTGTTATGTCATATATCTCCTCCCTTTAATTAGTTGCGTGTGCACTGCGGAGACAGGAAAGGGCAGACCTCAGAATCACAAAGAAAAAAGTTGTTCATCATTGTGCTTCCCCTTCCAAACACATGCGAAAATAAAGGACTTTTTTTCCCGCGCGCATGGATGCGAATCTTATTAGACAACTCATCACCACATGCATGCAGTCTTCCACACACACATCCGACTGATCATATGTAACAGTTTCCTTTGCAGTTTGCAGATCACGGGTTCTTTCAATTCAAGCTTTTTCAACTTTCAATCAAATTCGAATTCAAATTACAAGATTGATGTCATGCTGTTAAAAAAGTCTTCAGTACCATTCTATCTTTTTTTTTTGCTTGACTTTGACTCAATCTCTAATACAAGTAAGAAAATCCATCAATTAATCGTAATATATAAGAAGTTCGTACTAACTAATAAACACGACCTAGAAATCTTAAGATGATATTATCCCAATAAATATTTACTAAGTTGGGTCGGTGGTATCATTGATCTCCACTTCTTATATATCTTATAGTGGTCACAATTTGAATAGAACTTATTAGGTGGTGTTCGGTAATAGTGTAAATATTGTGGATGGGACTGTTTGGATCCTGTTTATATAGTAAGATATAATGTTCTGCTATGTGTGAATGGGCCCTCTCTACAAAATAGCGTGGACAGGATGGGCCACACCCTAATTTATCGTTCATAATATTTTCTCGTGGATGATCCACATTATGGTGTGAATAGTTTGTGGAAAGGTTCCAATGTAACACACACATTAGTCCAATTACTCTCGTTTTATTTAATCTTTTAATAATCTTTAAATATTAATATTTTTATCAAAAAATAATAAGTTTTAATGTTAATTATAGCACAAGTCTGATGGTTCTTCTTCTCAATTCTTTTTTCATTATTTAAATATTTTTATCAATAAAATAATATTTAAATATTAATTTTTATTTTTTCAATATTTAAAATAATAATTTTTAATTATTTAAAAAATGCAATTGTTGTCTACATATTGAAATCAAAAAGTGTGGTGTGGACTTGTCTGATCCACACAATCTATCCATAGTTCAGAATAGTTGTGGACTGTGGTGTGGTGTGGATCAACCCCCACCTACCAATTTTTCATCCAAAACACCCCCTTAGCCTCATTCTGTATTGCATCACCAACCCTATTCCTAGTCTTCATTACAACCAAATTAAGGCGTCTCTAGTCAATGTATTAATTTACAAGTAAAGGATGCCTTGTACACCAATAACCATTTTTTTTTGAATTGCCATATATTTACTCCCAACCCTAGGCCTCATTCTTTTAATTCTTGCTCATTCATGTCAAGAATGAGCAAGAATGAATAACATTAGAGTGTTTGGTTATAAAATTCATGCCATGGGCCACATTTTTTTTAGAATGAAAAATCAGACCATAGCACAAAAATTGAGGTGGTTTGTAGCATGAAAAATAATCATGCCCCGTCTTGTTCATTTTCATTCTTTGAGGAAACCCTACCTACAAAATTGCTGCCATAGATGTTTACTAGTGGATTACCGTGGAAACTCATCTTGATAGACATTGACTACTGGTAAGAGTGTTAATGGACCAATCCGATTCAAACCTTATCAAATTGGATTTGGACGATCAATTATAATTATTGGATTGGGCTAATCCAAAATAAATTGATCCATATTCTTATCTGTCTGAATCAGACCTAAACCAAATTCCCAATAATCTGATTATGAGGCCAAAGCCTTGTCTAATTTGAAACTGATCAAAACTAAAGCTGACATATAAACACTTTTATGAAAGTACTTTTATAAAAATATTTTTATGAAAGTACTTTTACGAAAGCACTTTTACAAAAGCACTTTTATGAAATTAATTTTATGAAAATTACTTTTACGAAAGCATTTTATAAAAGTACTTTTACATGAAAACATTTTTATGAAGCACTTTAGAAAAACACTTTTACGAAATTACTTTTATAAAAACACTTTTATGAAAGTACTTTTACAAAAGTACTTTTATTCATTCACTTTGGATTGGATTGGACCTGATCCGGTCCATTTGCATTTTATTTGGACTGAATTGGACTTGGTTTATATGGATTGGACCAAATCTAGTCTAATTGATAGCCCTAATTGCTGGACATCCACCGGTAAGCATCTATGCCAATAGTTTTGGAGACCTAGGCTGGTGGTGTACGAACACATGAATACAAGCACAATTTTTTTTTTTTTTGTTGAAGAATGAAAACGAGCAACATAGTACACTTGTAAGTATGAAAAGAATTCATTTTTAGGAAAAAAAAAACGTTTGGTTCATAGCAATATTTTCTCATTCTACGTATTTTTATCCATTCTTGTCCATTTTAGAGTTTCATCTTGTATAAGAATAAAAAAGAATGAAAAAGACCATCTTCTCCGATTCCAAAGTTCCACATGAATTGATACCCAGGGGCTGACAAGAGATAAATTAAGGTTTCCCAACATATTAATTGTGGGAAGGGAAAACAGGAACAGAAATGTGTTTGCATGGTTTGCAATGGAAGAAGTGCATTTGGGACCAAGGATACTGTTCAGCAAAATTAATAGGTTCTGCAGTTTAATTGCTATTACCAGGCAGAAAAATCAAAATGTTCTCATCTCTTGTATTAATTGGATCAGCAGAGTAAGAAAAAAAATTGCATGGAAATAGGACAACATAGACAGTTTAGAAAACCCAAAAGACATAATTGTTTCTTTCTTCCAAGAAAAAAGAAATCATGAGAACAGAGCATGAGAGAACTCACTATCTTCTTTTCCCACTCTTCTTCCGCTCACTACTCTTAGATCTCTTTTCAGCGACAAGAATTTGGCTCCGGATACCACGACCACGACAACGACAATATTAGATTACAACCAGATTGTAGCAGATTAAAGAAATAATGATCCTTTGATTTCAAAGACACACGGTCTCCAATGTAACTTTCATATTCTCAGCTTTCCCTCCTCTGTTTTTCACAATAACTCGGGCCAAGCGACGAAGACGACGGCCACAGTTGTGCCTTCTTCACCCTCGAGACACTGGCGAGCACTCCCAACGGCGTCACATCCCCGACCACAGTCACCTTCTTCGCCGCGAAATCTATGTTGAATGATGTCACCCCTGCTCACATTGGCAAAATCCAACAACACCAGCACATCAATATTGTCAGCAATCTAATTAAAACAGAGAGAGAGAGAGAGAGAGAGAGAGAGATAGCAGCCTTGGCTTGGAGGTCTCGTTCTCAACAGAGCAGGAGATTCAGATTTCAGGGGTTTTTCATATTTCATTGAGACAAAGTTGAGAAAAGAAGAGCATCTTAGGAATCGTTCTTTCTGTAATCAAATGTTTTGTTAATTTACCTTCCATTTTGGAGATGTGTTTTCTCACTTTCCCTTCACAGCCCTTGCAGTGCAATGACACCCTCAAAACCACAACCTGCACAAGATCTCTTTAAGCTCATCCTCATAAACATAATCATGCATTGTCATCATTAATGGCAACAACGAACAAAGAAGAACAATGGAGGTACAGAGATGGGGGTGGGGGGACGTAATAAACCTGGTTATGAGAGCCAATTGAAGAAGATTGTTTGAAAGCAGGAGGCTGATCAGTGTTTACAGCCTGAGTCTTGCTTGGTCGTTGGACTAGAACCAATTCCCTGGGCGGATCGAAATCCGACAAGACGTCGAAGAAAGCGGAGGAGTCATGACTCAAGAGATATCTGGAGGAACCCTGAGGGGTGTTGAGATCAGTGGGCGTAGCAGAACTCTTCCTACTCTTTTGATGAAGGTAAGGTTTAGGCTTCGAGGGTGGCTGGGTCTGAGATGAATAGGGAAGGAGGCTTGTGCTTCTTCTTCCGTCTATAAGATGAGGATTGTGGCGATCGATGGCTCGACCTCCATGACGAACCATGGACCGTTGATCCATGCTTGCACATATGGCGGTTGAAGCTGGAGAGGAACAGAAGAGATCGATTCCTTTCATATCCTGCAATCGTTTTGCCGAGAACACAGGGGTTCAATGAATCTGCATCTGCTTTGCAATGTCGACTGGAAAGAGAGAGAAGAGAATAAGAGGAAGATCTTTCTAGTGAGGTCTCGTGAGGTGCTTTTTAGCTTGGAGAGAGAGAGAGAGGGAAGTGAAGAAAGAACAGGACAGAACAGAAGAAAAGAGAAATTTAGAGGACAAATGATAAAACCCTCAATCTCAATGTTCTACGTTTTCAATTACCATAATGATGTTATTATTAGTACTGCTACTGTAAATTTTCTTTAGAATTGCTTTTTCTTTTATCAAACACATAGTCAATACAGTATTTAATAAAATGGAAACCAAACATTATTTTTGATCAGTTCCGTAAGCCAATTAAGTAACTTGGGGCCCAAGCCCGCATGGCCGCATGCAGAGAGTCGGTCAGTTCGAACGTTGAAAGTTGTTCAGGCATTAGCATGTGCAGGGTTGGGTGAATGATCGATCGTTGAATTAAATCCAGTACCCAACTCAGCAGAAGTCAGAACGTGAAGGAAGGCACCTTAGTGAATAGTGATAGTCTTCCAAACACTTTAAGAAAATGCAGATTTACAGAGAATACAGTATGTAACTTTTATATGTAGTTTTATTTGAATAACAAACTGATCATCCTACAACTACAACTAATCTAAACTTTTATATGTAGTTTCATTAATTTGTCCTTCTTTTTCTTCATAAGAATGACCAAGTATTCTCAATTCTATTTCCATACATAAAAGGGTTGATAATTAATGTTAAATCCTCATCTACTTGGAGTTTTTTTTTTTTTTTTTACATTTTTTATGTTTGAGAAAGAACAAAACATGTATTAATACTAATCTGGCTTTTGATTTTCCCCAAAGAGGATAACTTACGGCCATTGGTATTGTTTTCCAGAGACACCAGCTGTAGGCATTCTTTTGGACAGCTCTGGTAGTGCTGCCAAGCAGTTGTTTCCAAAGCTTAAAGAAAATGATGAACAGTCTCGTACCCGTGACCAATTATCAATGAATCTTGCTGCAATCCAACCTACAAAACAAACAGAGAAATCGACCCGAGACACAAACCCTTTAAGCAAAGTGCAACGAGGGACTAGAAAATCTCAATTGAGCTTTTGACCTTTTTAGACTCTTTTTGCATATAGCATGTTTTCATGCTTAGAATGTAAGCTGTGTATAAAATCCTTTATATATCAGGTTCAGTCCCTAATGTTTTCTTACGCATTTAATAAAAGAACTTTTTGATTGATTAGGTCAAGGCTCCTCCTGATTGAGACAAATGTCTCACTAATCAAGGAACGTCTCACTTTATGCTGGGCCAAATGATCTACCATTGACCCAATAAAAACTGCTGGTTAGTATTTTAATAATAATAATATCTCTATGCAAAGATATTTGAGGAAAAATCAGCCAAAAAATATTTTTTATAGGGAAAACAGATGCCAAATAATACAAGGAAAAAATTGGTTATGTGCGTAACAGTGCAACACAAAGATTTCTTCATCAACATTAACATATGGATTTTAAGGATTAGAAAATGAGGGCCTATGGCCATTCTTCCAAGTTCCAACAGAAAAGTGAGTATCGTGTTGTTTCTTGTCTCAATCACGCAATTGTACTAAGCCAGCGATCAGCTTTTTTCACTCTCGTCGGCAGCAAACTTTTAAATGGAGCGGAGCAGCGTACGTAGCCGCATCACGCATGCATGCAGTTAGCTAAAATATAAGGATCCTTTTGGTTTGCAATTCGAATGGGAACCGGAATCCGAATCAGAAACGGAAGCAATATCTTTTAGAATGGAATGGCTTATTCTCATAATTTGCTTGGTTCAGACTATGGGTTTTAAAATTGGATCAGACTGGACGATCGGATTGGAAAAATCGGGAATCGGTCAGTTGTTTTCCCCCAAAACCGGATTTTTCTCACAAAACCATTGATTTTGGTCAGTGAACCACTGAATCAAGCGGTTAATCGTTTAAACGGTTTTGACCGTTTTTAATTTTTTTAATTTTTTGTCAGAACGAGCCGAGCGTTCGGTTTGAACAGTCAGACTATTTGACCTGGTAATTGGACCCCTAACTAGGTCGGTTTTAAAAACCATGGTTCAGACATGAATAGAAATGGGAATTGGAATCGGTAAGAATGGGATTTCATTTCTAAGAGAAGGGAAGAGAATGACCATTTCCTCAAATGGGGAAATGCCATTCCACCAGGAATGAGAATGGGATTCCGATTCCACCCAATCAAACAGTTGGAATCGGAATAGCTCATTCTGATTCCGATTCTAGACCTCAATTCCTGCGAATCAAGCAGGGCCTAATATTATTAGATTTGCTTGATGGTTACTTGCTTATTAATGCAAGTAATTAATCATAATAAATAATAAATGAACAAAATCCCATGAAGTTTATTCATGGATTATCAGAAAAAAACAGGCTCATTTCCCTCAACAAAAAGATAAGATGGTTAATTTTCTTATTTTTATTGATTAAAAGGTCAAATATGTTGTTCATCCTTGTAAGAAGCAAATTGTTGTTTGGGTTCTACTATGATATGAAAAACATCTGATCAGTCAACTAGAATCATGAATGTAATAGCCAGCTTATGAATTTTGATTCTTCCGGATACCATTTCTTTCCCGCATCATAGATTTTGCTATGTTGTTAATGATAACAATTTACGTTTCATGATCCAAATTAAAAAAAAAAAAAGTTACTGAGAGGGAGAGACTATTGCCGGTGGACTTTGTTCAACCAATAAAGAATATAAGTAGAAACTAGGGATTTTTATGATTCAGTCCACTCTTAGAAAATCTTAACTCCACGTAAGGATGGAATAAATTCTGCCTGTAAATTAATGTTAAATTCATAAACAGGATGTAGTTTAGGGGGGGGGGCTACTAAATATTAGAAGGCCACTGCAAAAAAGATTAGAGTGCAGTTAAAAAATTATGAGACAAAGCAACGGTCATATGGTCAGCGGGCACTCAGCAACGTTTCCTGGTGAAGAGGTGTACCCTCTTCTTTTTCATTTTTGGACACCAAATATGTTTCGCTGCGATATAATGTAAAATAAATATTTACCTCTTATACTGTTTACAGACCTTCACCTTGTATTGTCCAAAACTCATTTCGGTTTAAAACTTAAAATTCATTGATAAAAGTTGTATATGTAAGTATTTAAATATTGGGATAAGTAGACCGTACTCCATTACAGAATTTTGAATTCTACCGGTAGAGCTAAGTATTTAAAAGTTGTCTCGTACATTGATATCAATTCTAAACTGACATCTATTTTAATAATATCGGTAGAATTAAGATTTATGGGGATGGACTGAATAATAAAAGCCACTTAAATATTTTACATATTTAAAATTAATAAAATGCTTAATATTGGTTATATGACCTTTGCAGGTACCTTAGTTGACTATCTTTTTTTCTTTTTTTTTAATTTTTTGCCTTATTCTTGTTCTTCTTGTTCTTCGAGAGAGAGAGAGAGCTCCCCCCTAAAAAGAATAGAGATTATTAATTCCTTGCTCTGCCCATGAAATGGTGCGTCCCTTTTGGTTTTTTATAAAACCCTCTGTTAATATATTGCATAGGTGTTTCCCTTGTAAAAATTAAATTAAAATTGATTAATTTCTCCTTTTTATTTTCATCTTATAATCACTTTATCTGGTTCGATACAGGGGAAACATAGGGTGCAAAAGGAGCAGAGAGAAAGGGGGAGCTGCCGCCGCTCTAATTCATTTGGTTGGGACTTGGGACTTGGGACTTGGGAGAAGATGAGAAGGGAAGGGGTAGAAAGGGAATTATGGATATTTTAATGGGCATGTAGAGTAGACCGTGTTCGGTGTTCGATGTTCGATCCATTTATAAGCGGCTCTCACACAGTGACTAGCCAAACAGAACGCTAAATAGGGGTTATGTCCCCTGCTCCTCTCTTCTCAGTCTCACTCTCCGTCGTCATCGTAGGAAGCAGATCTGCGCCAGAAATTTCAGGTTTCATTGGATGAAGACACTAGTAATCTCGCATTGTCTTTTATTTGCTAATCTTAACTTGACATTTATTTTCTTGTAATCATTCTTTCGTGACTGTGCAACTTAAGAGGAGTGTAAAATCATAAACCCTAGTTCCTTTTTTTCCCATAAGCTAGGGTTTTTTCTTCTCTTACATGCACTAGAAGATTCTAGTACGGTTTCCGCCATGTATCTATACAGTCTAACACTGCAAAAAGCAACTGGTATCGTCGCTGCGGCTAATGGAAACTTCGTCGGTGGTAAGTCGCAAGAAATTGTTGTAGCGAGAGGAAAAGTTCTCGATCTATTGCGTCCCGACGAAAATGGTAAGATCCAGACAATTCTATCCGTCGAGGTATTTGGCACAATCCGTTCATTAGCTCAGTTTAGGCTTACTGGTTCTCAGAAAGACTATATTGTTGTTGGGTCTGATTCGGGTCGAATCGTGATTCTAGAGTATAACAAAGAGAAAAATATTTTCGACAAAATTCATCAAGAAACGTTTGGGAAATCGGGTTGTCGTCGGATTGTCCCGGGGCAGTACTTGGCTGTTGATCCCAAGGGCCGTGCGGTAATGATTGGTGCCTGTGAAAAGCAGAAACTTGTTTATGTCTTAAACAGAGATACTGCTGCAAGGCTGACAATTTCATCCCCATTAGAAGCCCATAAATCTCACACCATCGTTTATTCTGTTGCTGGGGTTGACTGTGGTTTTGACAACCCAATTTTTGCTGCAATTGAACTTGATTATTCGGAAGCGGATCAGGATTCAAGTGGAGTGGCTGCTAGTGATGCTCAAAAGCATCTCACTTTCTATGAACTTGATCTTGGTCTTAATCATGTTTCAAGAAAATGGTCGGAACCGATTGACAATGGCGCCAACATGCTCGTCACAGTTCCTGGAGGTGGGGATGGCCCCAGTGGTGTCCTTGTGTGTGCAGAGAATTTTGTCATTTATAAAAATCAGGGCCATCCTGATGTCCGAGCTGTCATCCCTAGAAGGGCAGATTTGCCTGCTGAGCGTGGGGTGCTCGTAGTTTCTGCTGCCACGCACAAGCAGAAGTCCATGTTCTTCTTTCTGTTGCAGACAGAGTATGGAGATATATTTAAGGTTACACTGGACTACGAGAATGAACATGTGAAAGAGTTGAAGATCAAGTATTTTGACACAATGCCTGTTACGGCCTCTATGTGTGTTCTGAAGTCAGGGTTCCTATTTGCTGCTTCAGAGTTTGGGAATCATGCTTTATATCAGTTTAAGTCAATAGGAGATGATGAAGATGTGGAATCATCATCAGCTACATTAATGGAAACGGAAGAAGGTTTTCAGCCAGTATTTTTCCAGCCTAGGGGCCTTAAGAATCTTGTTAGGATTGATCAAGTTGAAAGTTTGATGCCAATTATGGACATGAAAGTTATAAATTTGTTTGAAGAAGAGACTCCTCAGATATTTACACTTTGTGGGCGAGGTCCACGTTCGTCTTTACGAATACTAAGACCAGGTTTGGCCATTAGCGAGATGGCTGTCTCACAACTCCCTGGTATCCCAAGTGCTGTTTGGACAGTGAAGAAGAACGTTAATGATGAGTTTGATGCATACATTGTTGTGTCCTTTGCAAATGCTACTCTGGTGCTTTCAATTGGTGAGACTGTCGAAGAAGTTAGTGATAGTGGATTCCTTGATACTACCCCATCTCTTGCTGTTTCTCTATTAGGGGATGACTCTCTGATGCAAGTCCACCCAAATGGCATTAGGCATATAAGAGAAGATGGGCGTATAAATGAGTGGAAAACTCCTGGGAAGAGGACAATTGTGAAGGTTGGCTCCAACAGACTTCAAGTTGTAATTGCTCTGAGTGGAGGAGAGCTTATCTATTTTGAGATGGACATGACAGGTCAGTTGATGGAGGTTGAGAAGCATGAAATGTCTGGGGATGTGGCTTGTCTGGACATTGCTCCAGTTCCTGAAGGGAGACAAAGGTCCCGTTTCCTTGCTGTAGGATCCTATGATAATACTATTCGTATCCTATCCTTGGACCCTGATGACTGCATGCAGATTTTAAGTGTGCAGAGTGTATCTTCACCCCCAGAATCTCTTCTCTTACTTGAAGTTCAGGCGTCAGTTGGTGGGGAGGATGGTGCTGATCACCCTGCCAGTGTTTTTCTTAATGCTGGTCTACAGAATGGGGTGCTCTTCAGAACTGTGGTTGATATGGTGACAGGTCAGCTTTCTGATACTCGCTCCCGGTTCTTGGGACTCAGAGCCCCAAAACTCTTCTCTTCCATTGTAAGAGGTAGGCGAGCAATGCTTTGCTTGTCTAGTCGACCTTGGCTTGGGTATATTCACCAAGGACACTTCTTGTTGACTCCCCTTTCATATGAGACTCTTGAATATGCTGCCTCGTTTTCATCTGATCAGTGTGCAGAAGGTGTGGTTGCTGTTGCAGGGGATGCATTGAGGGTTTTCACAATTGAGAGGTTGGGAGAAACATTCAATGAAACTGCAATTCCTTTGAGATATACTCCAAGGAAGTTTGTCCTTCATCCCAAGCGGAAACTGCTGGTGGTGATTGAGAGTGATCAGGGAGCACTCACTGCAGAAGAACGTGAAGCTGCAAGGAAGGAATGTCTGGAGGCCGCTGGGATGGGAGAGAAAGGAAATGGTAATGTGGAACAGATGGAAAATGGTGGTGGTGATGATGAGGAAAAGGATGATCCCCTATCTGATGAGCAGTATGGTTACCCAAAGGCAGAGTCTGACAAGTGGGTGTCTTGTATCAGAGTCCTTGATCCTAGGACAGCAAGCACAACATGCCTTTTAGAGCTTCAGGACAATGAGGCTGCATTTAGTGTATGCACTGTGAATTTCCATGACAAGGAATATGGAACTCTTTTGGCTGTTGGTACCGCAAAGGGACTGCAGTTTTGGCCTAAGAGAAAGTTCACTGCGGGATTTATACATATTTATAGGTTTGTGGAAGATGGTAAAGTTCTTCAACTTTTACACAAGACACAAGTAGACGGTATTCCTCTTGTTTTGTGCCAATTCCAAGGAAGATTGCTTGCTGGAATAGGACCAGTACTCAGATTATATGATTTGGGGAAGAGGAGATTGCTTAGAAAATGTGAGAATAAGCTCTTCCCCAACACAATTATCTCCATCCACACATATAGGGATCGGATTTATGTTGGCGACATACAAGAGGTATGTTATTTAAATAATTTATTTATGCTATAGAATGTTTTTGCAAAAAAGTTATTATTATGAAGGCTATCTGTTGTATGATTGTGTTTATAAGGTCAATCATGGTTTGGGTACTTAATGATTTTGTATGGCTCTATATGGAATTATGCATAGTTTTCAAGGCACCAAGGTGAACCTAGGTAACAAGGAAGCACTTAGTTTCCTAGGACCTGGGTGCCTACCTAGGTGTTGCCTAATGTCTTAGAATATTGGAAGGAAAATAAGGGGGATGAGTCCCTTATTTTTTGGTAGCAGAATAAGAAAAAAATACAAGGAGAAGGGGCAGAACCTCTGTTCTTGTCTAAAGAAAAACCCTCAAAGGGGTGGAGCCGCTGTTCTTGTCTCAAAAATAAAACTCAAAACGACAAAGGAGTAGGGGTGGAGCCCCTGTTCTCGTCTCAGAAAAAAGAAAAAAAAAACTTGAAATGAAGAAGAAGGGGTGGAGCCCTGTTCTTGTCTCAGAAAAAAGAAAGAAAGAAAAAACTTAATATGAAGAAGAAGGGTGGAGCCCTATTCTTATCTCAGAAAAAGAAAGAAAGGAAAAAAGCTTAAAATGAAGAAGGGGGCGGGGCTGTATTCTTGTCTCAGAAAAAAGAAGAAGAGCCCTACTCTTGTCTCAGAAAAAGTAAAGACAAAAAAAACTTAAAAATGAAGAAGAAAAAGAAGGGGTGGAGCCCCTGTTTTTGTTCCAAAAAAAGGAAGGAGAAGAACTAGAAAAATAACAGGTAGAAATTTTCAAGTCAAGTCTTCAAACTTCAGTTCTAGATTAGTCAAGCCCTAACAAAATAAGAAACTAACAAAAGAAATATTGGTTTATGAAGCAATAAAAAGAATGAATGATATGGTGTATCATTGCCTATCTTAATATTATGAAATAAAAACTAAAATATAAAAATATTGTAAATCTTTGTGTATAAACAGGTTAGCGTTTTAGCGGGTTGAGCGCCAAAAAGCACATAGTCACTTAGGCACCACTTTGACAACTTTGGAATCATGTTTAGCGTGTAAAAGAACAGTTGAGTTTCTTCTCATATGCATGTCATTAAAACTTCATTTGCTTAATTGAGTTTGGGATATATATATATATATATATATATTTCTGAGTAAATCATATTCAAATAAAGAGAATGGGTTAACATTAATATGTTAGAGGATCAGTGGTTTAAGTGGCTTTTTTTTCTGTTTCGATTGATCAAAGCTAGAAGGTAGACAAGAAAAGAAGATGAAGGTTTCTGGTGTAAAGAAAGAGAAAGAGCACCTTCTCCTTCCATACAGGACACCTCTAAGATCTAATAGGGTTATGAAAGAAGAAAAAAGAGAAACCTAATATTGGCGATGAAGAAAGCTCAGGTGCTTCTGGTAGGAGATGAGACTGTTGTCTGGTTTAAGGACTTTGTTGTTAAAGCCATGCACTTGAATGAGAGAAAGGATTAGAAAAGTTTTAAGAGGTTGAAGAAAGAAGATATGGGGCAGAAAGGAGTGGTAGAGGAAACTTCATTGCTCTCTTTGAGTTGTTTGGGAAAGGAAGAAAACAGCTGGTCTTCTTTCATAAAGGAAGAGAAAGCGCAGAGTGGGGTTTAATCTCTAATATATGAAAGGGCTTTACAGAGTACTTGAATGGTCAATGATGCTGAGGCGACAAATATGGAGGTTAATCATCTCCAGAAGGTTTGTCAGATCGTTGGTGATTTTAGCCCATCAGTATTAGAAGATGGGAGGTTTGAATGGTATGGGGAAAAAAGAAGGTGATGAAATTTCAAAGACTCCAGAAAGGCTTTGTAGTGACCTGGAGAAGGTGGACAATGGGTCTTTCTTCTATTTGCTCATTGGGAAGCTGGGAGTGGACTTAGGAAGGAAAAAAGCCAATAATTAACCAAGATCAATCAAGAACAGTCCAAGATTTAAGAAATAATGCAAAAAAAAAAGTCTAAATGCAAGAAAAAACAAACATGATAATTATATCTTATGGAGGAGAAGAGAAAAGAAGAGAAAAAAAATAAAAGAATCCTCAAGAAAACCAATTGTTAAGTTTGGAACTTCAAAAAAAAAAAGCCTCAATCAATTGTTCTTATTTTTTAGATCAATAACTGGAAACTTTCATTAAGATTAATGGAAAATAATTACAGAAAAAGGGGAGATAAGCTCTCTTAACTCTCCCACAACAAAACAGAAACAAAAAAACAAGCAAAATAGCAGATTACAAGAGAGCCCAAAACATAGATTCTTTTGACCCAGTTCAATTTTATTTCTGTATCCTTAGCTAGTTAAATTTCCTCTTCTCATTACTGTAATTCCAAGACCCAGCCAAGTCTTCTTTTAGCCAGCCTACCACCAGCTAGAATCTCCCTCTATAACCAGCTTGGTGATGTTCAGCACTCTAATTCTTTGAACTCCTTCCAATACTGCTGAAATCTTAGCCCGAAGTGAATCACCCACTCCAATTGGCCCAGAAAAAAAAGAGCAATTACAACACCCTCCTCATTTCTTAGAACACCCCTGATGCCTGAAGGACCTGGATTTTTTTTTTTTTATTTATTTTTGATCAATAACAATATGCCTGAAGGACCTGGATTTCCAATGCTGCTTTCGTTGAAGTTTAATTTGAAGAAGCCATGGAGAGGGAGGTTGTCCTTAGTTGGAGCTGAGCTTGCAATTTCCTTCCAGTTTCTAATCAAATCAGCTGCTGAAAAGTCTTTAAACAAATCCAGAGACTTAAGCCAATGCACCACTCTAACATGAATCACCTCCACAATATCTTGAAGACTTCTTTCTCTTTCTGAAAAAACTCTCCAATTCCTTTCCCAGATAGTCCAGCACTCGGCATCCCTTATACATCTCCACATGATTCTACCTCTTTTCTTTGGCCAACTGAACATAGTAGGTGCAAAGAGACTTTGTACATCCAGCGGAGGAGACCACCTTCTCCCAAACAAAAAAAAAACACCACTCCCAAATACAAGTAGCAAAAGAGCAGGATATTAATAAGTGGAAACCAGTCTCATCATTAGACTTGCAAGAACCACACCAGTTAGGAGATAAGAAACTATTAGGTCTCTTTCTCTGAAATAAATTACAAGTGTTGAATTTTTCCAGGAATGCTTCCCAATAAAGGCATCCAACCCTAGGTGGAATAGGTTTTCACCAAACTTCCTTAACAGGGAAGGCCTGCCCGAAAAATCAGTCAATTGAGATAAATCAATTGTTCTTCTTTCTAATGGCCATATAACGACTTATTTATAGAAGAGAGGGTAGGCACAATGTACAACAGTCAGGGGTAGGCACAAAGAACAGCCACTTGGATACAATCTAGTCATTCCACAAACTAACAGACTGCACGAATTGCCACATTGCCAAATGAGCAAATTTTCTATTTGAACTCCGGAAAAATAAAGACTTGATTTTTTTGTCACCAATTTACCTCTCATTGTTAAAATGATCATAACAAAAATCTAGGATTCACAAGATCCTTGGTCTTGTGGATAGTTTAAGGTATTCATTCTTTCATTTAATTTGGTTCACTGTGTACAAGTATATTACTGTACAGTGAGACACTATACAAGCAATGTTATCATTTGCAGCTCTCCTATCAACAATTATAAAAAGGAATGTAGTTGGGTCAAAATAACTATGATGGGAAGTGACTGATGATTAAAAGAAAACTATGATGGGAAGTGTTACTGAATTGGTCTGTAGCCGCCAGCCAGGAAGGTATGGTGCCCATAATCTTTTTGATTAAGGCCTCCAGTGAGATACTCTGATTCTGGAAAATTCTCTGATTTCTTTCCCTCCATATACACCAAGTGATTGCTTCTGGGATAGTATTCCACAACTTCTGCCCTTTAACATTAAAGCCTCTTAACTTCCAAGAGTGTAGGTGGTCTTGTTGGATAGTTAACTCAAGTGCCCATCTAATGACACAAAAATCATTGAAAACAAACAAGTTTTGGTCCTTGAAAAATAGGCTGAAAGAAAAGTGAAGATACAACTACTACAACTTGCAACTTTCCAGGGTGATTAGCCCTACTATTAAGAAATTAAAGTTAACAAATTAAAAAAAAAAGACTTGCATTTACCAGTAACCCAAAACTACAAGATTGCAACTGCTGTAGGAATTTGAAAAAACTTGATTTATTCCTTCATTGGTTCTTTCCCTCTTTCCACATCCGCATCATTATGTCATGTAGGTGCTTGTGCCCTATGTCTGTATTCACCTATTTCGTGTTGATGGTTCACCAGTTCACTGTCCAGGTTGAATGGGTCAGCCCACTGTCCAGGTTGTAGGTTTTTTTCTTGTTTTTAATTTTGAAGTTTCTGATCAAAATATTAAAATGGATTTAACTGTCTCAGTTAAAAGGTTGAACAAATTCAACGATTTGCTTGCCCAGGTCGAGTTGATGGGTTTTAAGGATTTTATGGGTTTATAGTTGAACTGACCTGGCTGAATGATTTGGATGGTGTTTGGTATTGTGGTGTTGCGGAGCTGTTTCACTGCCACATAAGCACTACATAGGCATTTTTACTTTATCAAACCAAATGGTGTTCGAAGGGGGGTTTAACACTTTGGGTATCCTATGTGGTGCTAGTGGTGCTTATGTGTTATAAGCAACCACTCTCCCAATTTCCAATGCTCAAATCAAGTACAAGCACAAAACTTGAGCAACAGCACGATACCAAACAATGCCCTTAATCATCCAGATCAGCGATGGTTTAAAAACATCAGTGTACGTATACATTATTTTTAATTTCTAAAAAGTGGCCATCTTCCAATGTTGGTCCCAGCTATCTAGAGTCTTGGGAGGAATGGACTGGATGCAGACCTTACCTCTGGAGCATTATTTTAACTTCTATTATTAATAATATTATTTATTTGTATAAATAATGGAAGATGTAATTGGAAAAGAAAACAAATTAAATCTATAAGCATTCATCAATGCAAACAATACTAAGCTATTAAATAATTTGTAATTGATTGTATTAAATTATCAAGTATTATTAGTGCACAATCATATCCAATTTTAACCGAATGACTTATTCTTCATTCACGTGTTAATGGGTTGACTAAGAAAATGTCCTCTCAAATTATCATGTCAATAATGATGTTGACATATATGTCTTGTTGTAAACTGCATGAAGTGCACGTGTGACAGCCTCCTTGTTCTAGTTTCCAGCACCCATATTCATTATTTGTTGAATAATCTGCTTAAGATTGTTACTAGCAACCAAATTGGATGCTTACCATAGGCATCAGATGCAGGAATCCTCGTCTTCCATTTGTTTCTTTGCTTTCATATTTGTATCACTTCAACAAAGAAATACTTGTACATGATTATTAAAGAGGTTAGTATTATTTTGCATGTTTAACATTTATGGTAATACTCTACATGTTTTTCTTAAAAAAAAATCATTCTATTGTATTACTCCTTATCTTTTCATCTGTCTAATTATGTTCTAACTGCTGTTGCTTTTCTGCAGTCATTCCATTATTGCAAGTATAGGCGGGATGAAAATCAGTTGTATATATTTGCAGACGATTGTGTTCCTAGATGGCTTACAGCATCATACCACATAGACTTCGACACCATGGCCGGTGCTGACAAGTTTGGGAATGTGTACTTTGTGCGGTTACCACAGGATGTGTCAGATGAAATTGAAGAAGATCCAACTGGAGGTAAAATAAAGTGGGAGCAGGGGAAGCTGAATGGAGCCCCTAACAAGGTTGAAGAAATTGTACAGTTCCATGTGGGTGATGTAGTCACATCTTTGCAGAAGGCATCTCTTATTCCAGGGGGTGGTGAATGCATTATTTTTGGTACTGTAATGGGGAGCTTGGGGGCTTTGCTTGCTTTCACGTCTAGGGAGGATGTTGACTTCTTCTCTCACTTAGAGATGCATATGAGGCAGGAGCATCCACCTCTGTGTGGTAGAGATCACATGACCTACAGATCTGCTTACTTTCCAGTGAAGGTATAGTTGAGAAGTTGGATTTGCATATACTCTGGTTGTTTTAGATATCTAACCTAGAGAACAGCCTTCTTTGGCACTAAACATGTAAAAGCCCCATGATCTAATGTCCCACTTTGTACACCACAGTGGATACAGCATAGCATAACCATGGTTTCAAATGTCGCGACATTTCGCTAATGTCGCCCAACATATGTTGATGTTGAGGCTCACCGACATGAAAATGGATGGTAATATAAAAATTACATTATTTCAGTCGACACTTCCTATATTTCGGAAATGTTGACCAAAGCGGTCCAAATAACAAAAAAAAAAGACAGTTTTTCCTATTACGTCGACAGGATGTCGACTAATGTACATTAATAATATAATATATTAGTATATTATATTAATAATAATACAGTATATTAATTTAAATTATTCCATTGATAATTTCTATTTAATATTTCAAATAAAATATTTAAGAAAAAATAAAAACAAAAGAATAACATAATTATTTTATAATATAAAACATAAAATATTTTTCAAGTAATAAAATATTAACTAGTTAGTATATTTAAAATATTTATTAAAATCAGAAAATGTTTATTAAATTTAATAATAAATCATAATTTATTATAAACTTAGTATTAAAAATCATAATAAATTCATTAAGTTTTATAAGAAATCAGAATTTATCATAATCTTAATACTACAAAAAGGAGAATCAGTTTATTAAATTTATAATAAAACATAATGTATTATAACTTTAATATTTAAAAAATCAGAATAAATGTATTTCTATTTACTAGTGTGAAATAAATATGTTAGAATTTATAATAAATCARAATTAAAAATAAGAAAAGAAAATATCGGATAACCTTGTAAAAACATCAAAATACATAATAAATCAGTAAATCATCATTTACTTATTTGTTATTGATCTTAGTTTCYTAGCTTTATATAATGGTTGGGAACAATGTTTTAAAACGTGGAGGCATGACGTGAGGCGTTTCACTACCTAGAGGCGTGAGGCGTAGTTCAGAACGCATTAGTTGAAAGAGGGGATATATATATATATTAAGAAGAATAAAGATGCATAACGTTAGTTTAAAGGGGGGTCTGGTCGAAGCGGATGCATAACATTAGTTGAAAGTGGTTTGGCAGGGGGCAAACCACTTTCTTTCCCCTCATCTTTTCTTCCCTTCCCTTTCTTTTCCTTTTCTTTCCTTTTCTCTTTTTTTATTCTTTCTTTTTCTTTCCCTTCCCTTTCTTTTCTTTTCTTTTCCTTTCCTTTCCTTTTTTTTTCTTTTTTCTTTTTTTTCTGTCTTTTTATATTAGATGTGCATGAGGCGTACACCTCTAGCACGCCTCATGAAAAAAGCGCAAGAGGCGTATGCCTCAGAGGTGTCAGCGCCTCTGGCATACTCCTTGGAGCGTTTTGGGAGCGCCTCGCGCCTTCAGGCGTATGCCTCCCATGCCTTTTAAAACACTAGTTGGGAATAAGATAATAGTTTAGAAATATGTATTAATGCTTCTTTTATCATTTTACAAAATATCATTGTATATTTCTACATATTTCATAATATTTTCACAATGTCTAATTTTTACAATATTTCCCCTCGACATTTCTGACATATGTCCTATGTTTTGGTAAGCGACATTTCCATCGACATCAACATTTTAGACCTTGAGCATAACACATTGCTTCATGGTCACTGCATCCACCATATGGATGATTCATGCAAATTCATTTTCTGTACTAATCTTATTTTTTTCCTTTTTCTTCTTTCCTTGCTAGTATTTGTCATCATAAAACCCTCAAAGTGACTTAGAGATGAAATTAATGCAGGACGTGATTGATGGAGATCTCTGTGAACAGTTCCCCACACTACCTCCGGATTTGCAGAGGAAGATTGCAGATGAACTGGATAGGACCCCTGGGGAAATAATGAAGAAACTCGAAGATATTAGAAATAAGATCATTTGAAGAGTTGACCTACTCAGCCTCGTGGATTGGAGGATGGATAATTGGATCTGTATAATTATCTTATAGATCCATGCAGTGGTATCTTGGGTCCATACTGTATAAACATCGTGTATCCAGGAAAACATGTTTGTGCTGCGAGGGGGAATGGATCAATTACTACTACAATTATTTGCAGATCTAAGTAAGATTACTTTTCAATGAGATTTCTGACCATCACCTGGATTAAATGATTTTGGTCAGGTTCAACAGATGAAAATTTGGGAACCTGCATGTTGCCACACTCCCCAAATCCTATTTATCTAAATTTGAAAGCTAGAAGCTGATCGGTCTATCCTCTTTGGATTCGCCCTCTGGAGATTATGAATGTAGCCTTAATTATGTTTTCATGGAAGTCATTTCGTGGTGGAAGCTCGCCAGATCATTATGTTGTAAAGTGCTTAAGCATTATTTCGCAGCTTTTCCAATGAAGAGACTAAAAGTTCTCACGGTAAAACCAGGGCCCAAGGCCGCCTTTGTATATTTCCTTTGAAACTTGAAAGCAGTGTAATAGACTAGTAGTTTAGCACTTGGGCTTTTAGACCCTGGCTGCAGGACTTCATATATGAGCTTGCTGGGGCAAGTGAGTTAAATCAATAGAAATTCCACCCCACCAAGAACCAATGGTGGTGGCCAGCAGATCCAGATTCTCTTTTGAGATTTGTCTGTACTAGAGGTTCAAAGGGCGTATTGGACTGTAGTGGTACTTTTTTTTAAGGCCCAATTACCTTCTGAACCATGGTCTGATCGGATATAATTCCTGGAGGAGCGTATCGTGAAACCATTGGCATGATATGTATCAGCTATCAGCCAATACGGGTCGATATATATCGATACTTTGAACTTCTAGCAATGCATCCACCGATACTGTTGTTACACGGAGCCTCTGTGGTTCAAGTAGAACCCTATTGTTGACAGCCCAGCTGTCGAGCTTAACCAAATATATTCTAGCAGGTACTTAAACAGTACCATTTGAGTATGAGAATAACTACTGCACTATAGGTTCTGTGTGCTCGACGACCAGAGTGCCATGGAAAGAGGAGTAACATCTGAGTTCAGAAGTAGACTGCAGTAATACCACATCCTCTGGCGGCATTTGAGTGAACATCTCCCAAAAGGGTGGGTATATTTTGCTAAGGGTATAAAACTGCCAGCTGATAAATTATGGTTATTTATCATGGTAACTATTAACTAACGCAATAAATTTCCATATAAAAAGGTATAATACAACCCTTTTTTCTCATAAAGAAAGAAAGATTCACAACACCATCTAAGAAATATTCCTCTTTACAAATGCGGCATGGATCAGAAATTTCCAGGACATGGATATAATTTAACAATGAATATGGTTGGTACCGAATAGTGGAATGGCAGAAAAGGATTTCATCTTGCAGACCCCATCCATGACAAGGCTTTGTTGATGATAAATGATAACAAACGAAGTTATTAATCCACGAAAGAATAAAATGAGACAAACACTAATAGATGCCTAGATGGCATATATGACATGCTCTTCATACTATACAAATTGTTCCTCTATCTTATTTCAGTGTTCCTCCTTCCTCATCATTCAAGACGCGTTTCCTGAAATCAGTCACCATTAATGGTAGCCCCTCCCTCAGTGAGATCTTAGGCTCCCAATTCAGCAGTTCCTTTGCTTTGGAAATATCTGGTTTTCTCTTATGTGGATCATCCGCAGTATTTGGCTTGAATTCAATGGTAGCACTTGAATCAATTGTATCTTTGACCACCTATTTTTGAAGGAGGCAGGGTAAACTTTACTATTGAAAAATGAAAACTTCAATAAAATAATGCAGGTAAGGTATCTGAAATTATTTAATCGACCCAACTATGCATTTAGAATTCAAGAAAAGTCTCACCTCAGCAAGCTCCAACATGGTGAACTCTCCTGGATTACCCAGATTGAAAGGCCCAATATGTTCGTTTTCCATTAGCGCCACCAGTCCATCAACCTAAGATGAGAGGTGGTTATTAGTCTTTTCCATTTTTAGCTTAAAACTTTGATGCTACAAAGGATGATATAAACATGCACGCATATATGTGGAGGAAGACATTCACACAATAAAAGGTGGAAAGGATCACTTTCCCTTCCTAAGCTGATCTTGTGGGAGCATTAAATATCTAATTGAGCATGAATGACACAAATAACTATTAATGGATGCAGAGATCTAGGGAACTATTGACTAGCTAGCTCTATGTATTGAGCATCAGGACCTCCAGCTAGGTTGTGCATAGTAGATTAACTGGGCTAAAAATCAACTTGTGATGAAAGGCGTTACCTACCATATTCAACTTTACAATTTAGAAAATTTTCTTTGAAATAAAAAGAACCTCTAGAGATAAAAATCCAAGTCAGATGGTTAAAACTATTTGAATATGAGGACCCCAGACTCATCTATCAGGTCCTGTGTCCCGAAACTGAAGACACCCTTTAATGAATACTTTGTAGATACTTTTTCCACCAGTAATTTAACCATTCCTCTGCACTCTGCAGCTCAGAGGGTGAGAGCAGACACACCTTGGACTCCACCACAGCAAGATTTCTTCTTTGAAATTGCAAAACCTAGGATCATCCAGGGTAGGAGTTATCAGACGAGGGATCCACCATTCTAATGTATCCAGTCCAGATAGCAGAGGAAATCAGTGAGGGTCAAACTGCTTTCCTTGATTTCTAGGTTGAGATGTGCTGCTTATCTGAATTGTTATTTATCAGTAGTGGAAGGTGATTCAGAGGTGTTGAATTGATAGACGACAAAGGAGGGAGGGGCCTTCAACTTTAAGGCATCAAGCAAGACAGGCAAAATACTTGGCTTCAAGACTGAAGTTCATTTTCAGGTGGATTCCTAAATCAGATGAGCTAGGGAGGTGGTTGATAAGGACTAATTGGTCATATAGTTGAATAAGTTCATTTGGGCATATATGGGAGCCGGTCTATAGACTGGTCAAGGGGTAAAAATGTATTTAATGTTATGAATCATCTAACAGGTTTTGAGGCCTCCTTTTTGAATTAAACAACAGCCCAAGATGGTAAACATGTGGTATACCAAGTCAGAAACATATTGGAAGCTTCGCGTTTGTTTTCCATCACCATAGACTGTCAGAGGTTCTTTACGGAGGGCCTGAAAAATAACACATACACAGAAAAATTGTCTCAAATGATTATGCTCTAATACCCTGGTTTATAATTCAGAACAGTATGAAAGGACAACAAGCCATAGACCTAATAAAAAGGGTCGGAAGAGCAAACCTGAGCAACAAAATTGCTAACAACACGCCCATCATCTATACACATACGGGGCCCATATGTATTGAAAATACGTGCAATACGTACCTGCAAGCAGCACATCCTGATGTTAATTCTGTCCAAATAGATGCATGGACCATGAAAGGCATGACCGTCAGGCCAGTAAGGGCGAGACAAGAAATAAAGAAATCCTAGTCAAAATCTATCAGATAACAGTGCAACTTCACTGTAAGGATTCAAAGGCATAACATAATATCACAAAACATATGAAGATCTCAAAATGAATCATATCCCAGACAACAGTAAACCTTGGAAAGTGCAAGAGGATCAGCATTATATCCGTCTATATGTACTTTTATCTTTATAATATGCTCTTCTCTAACAATTTGGCATGGGATTATGGTTTATGATTTTCCTAGTATGAAAACAAAATGTAGCATAAATTCCCATAGGCTTGTTCTTTCAAAGGAGTCTCGGTGGACTAAATGCAAATACCCTTATTCAAACATCATACACATCTGGCATCTATGTTACCCCAGGGGAGTCAAGGAGTTTATGTGTATGACAGCATTACAAGATGCAGTTGACACTAAAAAGGCAAGTAGGTGGATTCAGAATCATACTTAAATAGTATAAACAAACTGCTATTACTTCATAATAAGTGCTCATAAATATAATGGATTGTAACATTCAGGTGTAAACACATATGCAAATATAAACTTATATTTCCTAATGGAATCTTTCAAGATGCAGGAGCTCGCAACCAAAACATCTGTCAGTCAAAATGGGGTAATTAAATCCTAATGAAGAATTAATGAGTAGTTGCCCAGGCAGCCTTGCTATTCCAAATAGTATTACTTCATAATAAGTGCTCATAAATATAATGGATTGTACCATTCAGGTGTAAACACGTATGCAAATATAAACTTATATTTCCTAATGGAATCTTACAAGATGCAGGAGCTCGCAACCAAAACATCTGTCAGTCAAAATGGGGTAATTAAATCCTGATGAAGAATTAATATGAGAAGTTGCCTTGGCAGCCTTGCTATTCCAAATAGTATTACATCATAATATATACATGTCAAAAATCAGCATGAACAATAGAATTCTCATTGTATGAAGAATTTCAGTGTGAACCTTCAAACCTTGATGTTTAATATCTTGCTTATTTCTAAATTAATTTTTTTATTACTTTAGCCTTTCCATTATAGTTTTTATACATAACTTTTTTCAAGCATAATAAAACCTGCATTATAAACTCAAAAATAATTCCATGCTGCATGGCCCTCTTTTGGGATTTATGATAATAGAGACGCAAATATCGGTTTCAGACTGAGGACTAATGATTACTCACCCACTTGGTCAGAGTAAACACGAGCAAGTGGACAAAAGGATAATCAAATTTCAAAAATAAAAGAAGAAGTGGAATATCTATTAAAAGGTATGTCATACCAAGAAAGTAACTAAAACTAAATGTCTACCTACTTAGTCAACAAACACATTGAGGAATAAACTTTCAGGGGTTGAACTAAAGCAACTGGACAAGATAGAGTTCCAGAAAATTACAACTCAGTCACAGTATCTACCGGAAGACATTTCAGATCTGGAAAGCTAACTAACGGACCAAGTAAAGAACATAATGGGTATGTATACATCTTGCTCTCTAGACATGTAGGTAAGATTTCGAACACAGAAATCTCAAGAAACTTATAGACTGAAAAGGCTGGGTATCAATTTTGTCACCATACTAGTTACTAGAACTTGAAAGACATGCTCTATGTGGTACGCAGTTGTTGCCAGCAAACATAAATCAAGAGTAAGAAAAGAGATCATCCGTTTTCCAGTAGTTTAGAAAAATTATAAAGAACTGACAGTGAAACTCATGCCAGAAATTCTGATTCCATCTTTTCGTTTTATCTCTGCAAGTCACACAATAGACCTTCTAGAAAAGTTCATTCAGAAGCGAGTATTACCAACCTCAACACCTGCACCACGATGGTAATCCATTGCTAAAGTTTCAGCAGTTCTTTTTCCTTCATCGTAGCAGCTCCTAACACCTAAGGAAGACCAAGCATCCAGAAAATTTACAAATATGAAGTAAGAAAGGGTCTAAAGAGAAAAGTAGAGAGACTTGCAGGTAATAATAGGATTGGATCATAGACGACAATTTTACCGATTGGATTAACATTTCCCCAATAAGTTTCCTTCTGCGGGTGCTCAAGCGGGTCACCATACACTTCACTTGTACTCGTGAGAAGAAATCGTGCCCCAATTCTCTTGGCCAGGCCCAACATATTCAAGGTTCCCATCACATTTGTCTTGTAATCACAGTCAAGGATGTTAAAAGTATTCCAAATTCCATAAAGAACAAAATCTAAAATGTATTCCTTTTACAGAAATTCAGGAAACAAGTTAGAATTAGAATGGTAATGACATAGAGAAGGATATGATTGTCTTGACTGGATTATACTTGTAGTGTACAGGCGAAGCCGGACAAGCCAAGTGATAAATCTGATCGACTTCCAAAAGTATCGGCTCAACCACATCGTGGCGAATCAGCTCAAACCTTGGATTCCCAAAATGGTGCATCACATTCTCCTTCCTCCCAGTAAAGAAATTGTCAATTACAATCACATAGTCCCCTCTTGCCAGAAGTTTATCGACAAGATGACTACCGACGAACCCGGCACCGCCGGTGACCACAATTCTCAACCCCGGTCTCCGGATCCCTGCCGGGACTCTCCCGACCTTACCCAATTGATGATTTCCCGAACTCCAGGAGGGGTTCAAAATCTGTTGATGGCCAGAAACGCTAACGGGAAATTCTCTGGGAATAACATGGTGGGATTCGGGCGGGCCAAGCCTCGACAGGCTTGGCTGGAGTATGAAGAATGTGGAGGCGATCAAGATACCAACGAGGATGAAGAGAAGACGTTGTTCTTTCATGAGGTAATTGATGGATCTGGGTATGGTTCTTGGTTGTTTTAGGGTTTTGGTGGAATAAGAGGAGGTTGTTATTGGGTTCTCGTCATCTCTTCTGTAATTCCCGCTCGGTTGTTTGTGAAGCTGCTTCATCACGAATCAGCTTCTGTGGTTCACGCTCGGTTGCTTGAGAAAGAAAAATATGAAGAGATCTGCGTGATCTGCAATGGGTTTCAGGAATTCATGAATAAACTGAGGAACGATATTTGAGAAAATATAAGATCTTTTTCAGTTTTCATTTGGGAGAGGGAGGATTTTAGTAACAGTACCTACTACGAGAATTGTCAAGACTGTAGAGAGAGAGAGAGCGTGTGTAGAGCAGTAGAGGGAAAGAATTGTTTTGAACCGCCGCTCCTCTGACTTCGCTTCGATTTCTGTAAAATTTCTTTGAAAGAAAGATACAATGTTAATTTGAGTGCAAATGCATAAAACAATCAAAACAAAATCCAAATATACCTATAAACAATGGGTTGGGTGAATCCAACTGTCCAAGTAGCAGCAGCTCCACCTCCACCTCCGATTAACACTATACTAATAGTCTAATACTATACTACATCAGTACATTTTCATTTGGAGTGAAACAGTAAAACATAGGTAGTCAAATCAAATGGATCGGACGATTGGCATCCTAACATAATCTACTCTCCAACTGTGAGTGATATTTGTAGGTCGTGTTTGGTTCGTTTTATAGAGATGAGAATTGGATTTCTTTTTAGCCACTAGTCTTTTCCTTTTTTTTTCGTGGGACCCTGGGACTGGGAGGGGTGAGATCAGGAGGGATAATAGTACTAGAATTTGCACCAGCGCCCCACAAGTCCATCCCAACAGCGGACGGCCGTGTAGTGGGAATAAATACGGGAGATGTTCTCAATGTATGCTTCGATAAGGAGTTCACATCTCCACCCCACAGCACATTCCCGCCATTTATTGGGAACATCTCCCAATGATGACATCCCCACCTATATCGGGACTGGTACTATTATAGGGAGATATTCCCAATATACAGTGGGAATGTGCTATAGTACATTGTGGGGCGGGGATGTGCTCTCTAAGATGAGCCTGTGGGGCGCCAATCTCAACTTATAGTACTATTAATAAAATGTTTGAGGGAGAATATTAATAAAACATAGGTAGAGGAATGCATCCGAAAGCATTGGGATCTGGTCCAACATATTATCCTAACACAGTTCCAACAACCTTGTATGGTTATTGGGGCCATATATCAGGCTGGCAATGAGAAGCCTTATGTGATAAGAGAATGCCTTTAAATTAAAAATAAGTTTTTATTAAGCAATTATAAGGTTAGGCATGTTGTATGGTGTTGAATGTTTGATGGTCAAGAACAAATGCCTAAAAATTCAATGTGATATGGATGAATAAAAGAAACTAGAATAAAAAGGATAACAAATAGGGTGATGAAATATTGATCACATGCATAGAAAGTCATTGACAACATAAGAAGTGGTTGTTGCAAGTTGAAGGAGTTAGAGTAGGGTGTAAATGGATCGGATCATGATCTTTTTTGTGATATTCGAATAATCTTTTTGCTGGATTTTTTTAGAGCAGGTCGGGATTGGATAGATCGGATTTGGGTCTCCCTATCCGATTTAACCTATATATGTATATATTTGTAAATATATTTACTTATAAAAAGACATGTATATATTAATATATTTATTTATAAACATGTTTATATTGCTATTTTGTAAATTTTTTTATAAAAGGCATGTATATATTATTATATATGACAAAAATAGTTGAAAAATACTTATATTTTTTTGTTTTTCTTTCTATAAAATTTTTATGTTTTTTCTTTTAATAATTTATTATTTTTTTCATAATTCGGATCAGATTGGATCAAATTCAAATATTCAACATCCTTAACAGAATCGGATTCAAAACACTATTTATGATATCAAATCGGACCTCATGTAAGATCAAATTCGGATGTACCTTGATTCGAATATGATCCGATCTATTTGCATCCCTAAGCTAGAGGTAGACAAAAAAGGGCATGGATATTTAAGTTCTCTTAATTCAACAATGGATATTGGGTTTGACTATGATACCAGAAATACATAATAGTGGAAAAATTTTTCACCAATCAACTAGTATCACAAAAGCAGTGAAAATTAAGTGGCATTCATTAAATTTTGTGAGGGCATTTGATTGGTAAAAGCTCTTCCGGATCATCTGTAAACTCCTTTTTCATGATGAAGAGTGCAATGTCAAAAAAATGTTGGGAGGGTGTTGGAATGTATTTTGTTTAGAGGAGATCCCAACTCCTTTCCATAACTTTAAACATAATTCAATTGGATAAGGCTTTGGTGATGATGATATAGTGACAAAATAAATCCAATCTAAGCCAAACTTGGAGAATAGAAGAAAACATCCATGTGATGCACATTGTAGAGATGAGACTTTTTAAATTCTATTTTATATTAAATTCAAGGGCAGATTTCTTGAACTACCCTTATGGTTAAGCTAATTGACTAACTATACCCTTATTGTTTAACTATTGTTTTGCACCACCCCTGCTATTTTTGACAATTGTCATTGCCATTAAATTCTAACAGAAAGGATAAAAATCAGTTTTACCCTTCACTATTACTCAAATCTTCAAAATAAAACCCAATTGATGAAAAATTTTAGGAACTGAAGCTTAGAACACTGAGATCGGAGTGGTTGGTCACCTCAGGGATCTTGAAGTGTCATAACTATCCATCACCTTCACCAAGTTTCAGATCAAATCAGAGAATGAGTTGGGACCAACTTTTCCCCTTGTTGGAACTATTGGATTTTAATCTCATAAGAGATTAAATCCAATGGGTTTAATTGGTCAATTACATGGTAAATTGCACCTACACACTTGATTGAAAAATTAACTTTTCTCTTACAAAACCCAATTTTGAAGAGGAGAGTATGGGGGTTTGATACTGCGCAACGCACACGCATGAATCAACGGTCACGATTCGATTGGGTGTGATCAAGAGGCACAATTCAAAGTTAATAGTCATTAACTTAACTGTTAACTACTTTTTAAACAGTCACAATGTTTGCTGTTTAAGGTGCCTTCTCTAAACCAGCACCTATCTTTTATTCATACCTCTTTATAAACTATTTTAAGGAGCATGAATCGGACTTCAAAAACACACATTTTCAAAATCCACTTTTTCTCTCTCTCTCTCTCTCAGTCCGATCTGCTATAGTCTCATAGAAGGTTTATCCGAAGATTCTTCAACTTTGTTGGTTGCAGATTCTCGCCCAAGGCTCTGTTGTATTCTGGGAACGGATTTGCCTGTAACCCAACAGCAAACTCAATGAAACTGAGTGGGGGCAAATAACGTTCTAAAGATAGTGTCTTTAGACGCGCCTCATAGCTTCTCCTCCAAAGTTATAGTGACCCCATTTTCCAACAATTTTAGAACGTTATTCTGCAATGGAGGCGAAAGCAAGCATGACTTCGATCAAGATGATGAACCAAGATCTTGTTCGACTAGACCAGTTTGATGGAGCAAACTTCAGCCGATGGCAATACAAGATGATCTTCTTTCTAACCACACTAAAACTATACTATTTACTGGACCCAAATTTGCAATCACTTCCTGAACCCATTGACAAAGACTCAGAAAAACTAAAGAAGGAAAGAGCAAAACGAGAAGATGACTCATTTCTGTGCCGATGACACATACTGAATGCTTTATCAGACCGGCTCTACAACTTCTACAAGGAATTTACATCTCCAAAAGAAATATGGAAGGCCCTGCAATTCAAATACAAGGTGCAAGAAGCAGGTATGAATAAGTATCTTATTGCAGAATACTTTAACTTCACCATGAATGACCATAAACCCATACCGGAGCAAGTTCATGAACTACAGGTGATAGTCAACAAAATTCGATCCCTTGACATCATCCTTCCTGAATCTTTCCAAGTGGGAACAATCATTGCTAAACTTCCACCCTCTTGGAAGGATTATAGGAAGAAGCTTCTGTACAAGATTAAAGAACTTACTTTGGAGCAAAGTCAACTACACTTTTGTATTGAAGAAGAGTCTCGGATTAGAGACAATAGAGATAAGACCCTGGCCGATATGCTGAACACTAAGGTCAATTTTGTGGAAAACGGATCGAAGAAGACTAACCCTACGTTATAAGTAAAGAATAATGATGGGAACTTCAAGAAGAGCAACAATAAGAAAGGATCATGTTATGTTTGTAGAAAGAATGGGCATTATGCTCGAGTCTGCCGACATCGGAAAGGCGGAACTAAGTCTGCAAACATAGTAGAAGACAATCTAGTAGCCATGATTACTGAAGTCAACATGGCAGAATCGTCTTCTGGATGGTGGTTTGATTAAGGCGCCACAGTCCATGTTTGCAAGGACAAGTCCTTGTTCAAGACATATGAAGAAGTGACTGATTTATAGGAGATACAGATGGGAAACCAAACATGTGCCAATGTTGTTGGAAAAGGCAGCATAGAGTTAAACTTCACCTCTAGAAAGACACTGACTCTCTTGAATGTTCTCCATGTTCCTAACATTAGAAAGAACTTGGTCTCAGTAAATCTTGTCTGTAAGAGGGATTTAAAATTGTCTTTGAATCTGACAAACTAATCCTATCCAAGAATGGGATGCTTGTTGGAAAGAGATATGGTTGTAATGGTATGTTCAAATTAAGTATTAATGAAGGAAAAGTTTTTGCTTATATTGTTAATTCTTTCTCTTTATGGCGTGATCAATTAGTACACTTGAATTTTAAATCCATAAAGAACATGAGCAAACTTGGTATAATTGCTTACAATAATGAATCAACTGAAAAATGTGAGATATGTGTAAAATCTAAAATTGCTAAGAAACTTTTCCCTAGTGTTGAGAGAAATTCTCAACTTCTAGAACTAATTCATTCTGACATCTATGAACTCAATGGTGTATTAACTAGATGAGGTAAAAGATACTTCATAGCATTTATATATGACTTTTCTAAGTACACCTATGTCTACCTTATGAGAACTAAGGATGAAGCTTTTGACATGTTTAAACTGTATAAGACTGAAGTTGAAAATCAAATAGAAAAGAAAATTAAAATCCTTAGAAGTGATAGGGGTGCTGAATACTTTAAAAATGAGTTTAATTCTTCCTGTGAAGAATTTTGAATAATACATCAGTGTTTTGGTCCCTATACCCCTCAACAGAATGACCTATTCGAAAGGAAAAATAGAACACTTACAGAAATGATAAACTGCATGTTGTTAAAAGTTAATGCACCCTTAAACCTGTGAGGGGAAGCACTCCTAACAACCTGTCATTTACATAACATAATTGTTTCTAGAGTTAATAACAAATGCCCATATGAATTATGGAAAGGAAGAAAGCCTAATTTAGCATATCTAAAAGTGTGGGGGTGTTTAGCATATTATAGAGTTCCAGATCCTAAAACAACCAACTTAGAACTTAAAGCTAAGAGAAGTATGTTTGTTGGATATGCAAAACATAGCAAGGCCTATAGGCTTCTGGAGTTAGAGTTCCACATA